CTCTTTCTTGAGTAAATAACTTTTTTCTCATCGTGACATTCTCCTCTTTTGCTTGCTACGTCATGGCCGCTCCTTCGCAGTCCCTGGCTGGCATCTTCCGTTGTTTTCTGACATTGTTGCATTTCCTTGGCTCAGTGCCTGGCTCTCTTCACTGTTTATCCACTCCCTCAGAGAATACATGCTAACCCATGGATTTAAATAGTATCTATGTGCTGATGGTTAACCAGCTCCCAAACTCTTCCCTGAACTTCATGCTCCAATATCCAACACCTTACTTGATAATTCTATATGAATGTCTGACACCTCAAACTTAACTTGCCAAATACATAATTCTTGATCCCCAAGAGGATTCAAACTACCAGGTAGAGAAGAGATGTTACTGCATGACCATTTACAGCCCCTCAAGCCCTGGGGTCCCAAGGCTAAATGAGCTATACAGAGAAAGTGGTCATTGATAACAGACAGTGTAGTTTCAAATAAGAAGTTTGAAATGGAGAGATGTGTATGTGTTGAAAACTGACTGCAGTTAGAAAATTTTTTATTGATTAATAGTAACATTTAATGAGTGCTAGTTACTGTTCAAAGTGCTTTATACATTGCATGTCACTTAATCCTTACAATAATCCTAAAGGTAGATATTATGGCTCCATTTGCATATCAGGAAATGGAGACACAGAGAAATTATACAGCTTGCTCCAAGTCCTAGAGCCAGTAGGAAACAGCTATGACTTCAACTCAGACAGCCAAATATGACAAGGGAGTCATGGTGGAAATTACAGTGTTATTCCCATCCCAGGGTCATGTTCCTATTCAAGTGAACTTCCATGCCTTGTATTCTATTACCAGACTCTGTAGCCTTTAACCTAGTGTATATGGAACCCTCATGCTAGATGAATAGGAAACAAAAGGAATGAAGCAAGTTCTGTTACACAGAAACATACTTCATTATTTGGTATAAAAACAAAAGTTAAAAACTTCCCAAAGATCACTCTTTTCATTAAGAAATTTTCAAACAAGTGCGGTTTGATACTTTTGGTAGTTTTTAAGGACAGGTTTTTATACATATTATGCACAATTCCTCTGAAATATTTTCTTTCCTCAGTATACCAACACTTAATGCTAAAAACCTGCTCCACAATATGTTTATTAAACAATGAAATCTATGCAGAGCTGTGTAAGGACTACTGGTTTTCTAAAACATCCTCATTATCTTGCTTTTTACTACAGTATTTATCATGTTTTATTCACTTTTGAGTAAATGACAAATTTTTTAAAAAGCTAACCAACCCGTCCAAATGTTAGTTCATCAGAATTTTAGCTTTGCCTTAACCTATGTTTTCTAATAAGTAGTGAGTAAATAAGTAATAAATACAGTATTATTAGATAAAAACAGCAAAGAAATAGTGGAAGCTGATGTTTTAAGAGTTTCTTATTTTTGGGGGGATCACAGTAAGGAAAAGAGAGATGATCGATACCTCTTTTGTTTAATTGTTATTTAGAATTGAAGACCAATAGGAAAAGATGGTAGCCAGATGTTTTAAAGTAAAAAAAGAAGCCCAGGCTCCATGAAAATACCTGTTATATTATAATAGCCTAAGTAAGTTTATCTATTTAGAAACTAAATGGAAAAACCATTTCATTCTTTGCTTAATGCACTGAAAATACTTCCTTTAAAGGCAGAATCTCAATAAAGAGCAATTCATATGCCTGAAAGCTGAAAAAATTGTCTCATGGGGAAGCTACCCAGAACTGTTAGATTATGTTCAGGAAATAGAAATGGTCCAAGAAGCCACCCAGAACTGTTACATTATGTTCAGAAAATACAAATGGTCCATGAAGACGGTGACGCACACACTGGCTCTTCAAACCGCCACAGAACTTGCCTGCCATGCAGCAGAAATTCTGAGGTTATTAAAAACTGCCTGTTATGCTAGACATGCCTTCAAAACAGAAGAACAGAGAAACCACTTACATCTCGTAGTTCCAGTGTGAGGCTCGCTTCTCCACTCCACAGACCTCTGCCCAATCCTTGGCTCTGGCTTGAGACTGGTTTAATCTGCAGGGCGGGGTGGACTGCGGACCAGCGCCCTTGCTGTTTTCTGTTTTCAGAAGGCCAGCAGCCCTGGTCATTTCCATGGCAACCAGGAGGAAGCCGCCAGCCTGCCAGTTTCATTACCACATGACAGGAGAGAACCTCCCTTGGTGACTGCTGACCACTCTCCTGGGGATTCTAAAGTGGAAAGTTTACAGAAGGAACAAAGGAGACTGCTGCTGTATGCTGATCCTGATGGGCTGGCAGTCACGGAAGAAATTCTACTTTAGCAACGGAAGAAATTCTACTTTAGCAGGAAATTGAGTGGGTTAGTCTAGGCATGTCTCCAAATGAATCTTTTAGTTTCTCTGGCCACAGAGAAGATTCTGGCTTCGTTCATGACTTTGGAGACCACGCATTTCCGAGACACAAATGGGAAGTGATCGTTTCACGGACAATGGATGGAAACTGCAAAGGAGAAGATTCAGGGGATACTGTGGGAATAAGTCCTTGTGTGCGTGTGTGTGTGCATGTGTGCGTGCATGGAGGGGAAGAGAGATGCGCCTCTCTCATGCTGTTCATATTGCCTCCTGTGTCTAGGAGTGTTTGCTATTTCTCATATGCCAAGAAACCACTCTCATCTTTAAACTGACTTCAAATCCTGCCTCTTTCACAAAACTTTGGTAAGCGAGGGGCATGGATTACAGTTCATGCCTGCCTCAAACCTGTTTTTCTTACATGGACACCTGCGTGTACATTAAAAGAAGTTTAAAACAAGCTTTTATAAGCAAATCTGGACTCATACGGTGAGCCCAGTGCCTGTTTGTGTGAGATTTCTAAGCCATTTCAATCAGGCTGTTCTTACCACCCCCCACCTTCGAAACCCTTCTTACCAGGTTCCCCGTGACTCCCACACCGCAGGGTGCCAAATCCAGGGATTAATCTCATCTCATTTTGCTTGACTTCTCACCAGCTTTTGACATGGTTGCTTATTCCCTCTTTCTTGAGTAAATAACTTTTTTCTCATCGTGACATTCTCCTCTTTTGCTTGCTACGTCATGGCCGCTCCTTCGCAGTCCCTGGCTGGCATCTTCCGTTGTTTTCTGACATTGTTGCATTTCCTTGGCTCAGTGCCTGGCTCTCTTCACTGTTTATCCACTCCCTCAGAGAATACATGCTAACCCATGGATTTAAATAGTATCTATGTGCTGATGGTTAACCAGCTCCCAAACTCTTCCCTGAACTTCATGCTCCAATATCCAACACCTTACTTGATAATTCTATATGAATGTCTGACACCTCAAACTTAACTTGCCAAATACATAATTCTTGATCCCCAAGAGGATTCAAACTACCAGGTAGAGAAGAGATGTTACTGCATGACCATTTACAGCCCCTCAAGCCCTGGGGTCCCAAGGCTAAATGAGCTATACAGAGAAAGTGGTCATTGATAACAGACAGTGTAGTTTCAAATAAGAAGTTTGAAATGGAGAGATGTGTATGTGTTGAAAACTGACTGCAGTTAGAAAATTTTTTATTGATTAATAGTAACATTTAATGAGTGCTAGTTACTGTTCAAAGTGCTTTATACATTGCATGTCACTTAATCCTTACAATAATCCTAAAGGTAGATATTATGGCTCCATTTGCATATCAGGAAATGGAGACACAGAGAAATTATACAGCTTGCTCCAAGTCCTAGAGCCAGTAGGAAACAGCTATGACTTCAACTCAGACAGCCAAATATGACAAGGGAGTCATGGTGGAAATTACAGTGTTATTCCCATCCCAGGGTCATGTTCCTATTCAAGTGAACTTCCATGCCTTGTATTCTATTACCAGACTCTGTAGCCTTTAACCTAGTGTATATGGAACCCTCATGCTAGATGAATAGGAAACAAAAGGAATGAAGCAAGTTCTGTTACACAGAAACATACTTCATTATTTGGTATAAAAACAAAAGTTAAAAACTTCCCAAAGATCACTCTTTTCATTAAGAAATTTTCAAACAAGTGCGGTTTGATACTTTTGGTAGTTTTTAAGGACAGGTTTTTATACATATTATGCACAATTCCTCTGAAATATTTTCTTTCCTCAGTATACCAACACTTAATGCTAAAAACCTGCCCCACAATATGTTTATTAAACAATGAAATCTATGCAGAGCTGTGTAAGGACTACTGGTTTTCTAAAACATCCTCATTATCTTGCTTTTTACTACAGTATTTATCATGTTTTATTCACTTTTGAGTAAATGACAAATTTTTTAAAAAGCTAACCAACCCGTCCAAATGTTAGTTCATCAGAATTTTAGCTTTGCCTTAACCTATGTTTTCTAATAAGTAGTGAGTAAATAAGTAATAAATACAGTATTATTAGATAAAAACAGCAAAGAAATAGTGGAAGCTGATGTTTTAAGAGTTTCTTATTTTTGGGGGGATCACAGTAAGGAAAAGAGAGATGATCGATACCTCTTTTGTTTAATTGTTATTTAGAATTGAAGACCAATAGGAAAAGATGGTAGCCAGATGTTTTAAAGTAAAAAAAGAAGCCCAGGCTCCATGAAAATACCTGTTATATTATAATAGCCTAAGTAAGTTTATCTATTTAGAAACTAAATGGAAAAACCATTTCATTCTTTGCTTAATGCACTGAAAATACTTCCTTTAAAGGCAGAATCTCAATAAAGAGCAATTCATATGCCTGAAAGCTGAAAAAATTGTCTCATGGGGAAGCTACCCAGAACTGTTAGATTATGTTCAGGAAATAGAAATGGTCCAAGAAGCCACCCAGAACTGTTACATTATGTTCAGAAAATACAAATGGTCCATGAAGACGGTGACGCACACACTGGCTCTTCAAACCGCCACAGAACTTGCCTGCCATGCAGCAGAAATTCTGAGGTTATTAAAAACTGCCTGTTATGCTAGACATGCCTTCAAAACAGAAGAACAGAGAAACCACTTACATCTCGTAGTTCCAGTGTGAGGCTCGCTTCTCCACTCCACAGACCTCTGCCCAATCCTTGGCTCTGGCTTGAGACTGGTTTAATCTGCAGGGCGGGGTGGACTGCGGACCAGCGCCCTTGCTGTTTTCTGTTTTCAGAAGGCCAGCAGCCCTGGTCATTTCCATGGCAACCAGGAGGAAGCCGCCAGCCTGCCAGTTTCATTACCACATGACAGGAGAGAACCTCCCTTGGTGACTGCTGACCACTCTCCTGGGGATTCTAAAGTGGAAAGTTTACAGAAGGAACAAAGGAGACTGCTGCTGTATGCTGATCCTGATGGGCTGGCAGTCACGGAAGAAATTCTACTTTAGCAACGGAAGAAATTCTACTTTAGCAGGAAATTGAGTGGGTTAAGTGCAGAACATGGAGATTCCTTGAGGCTTTTACTTCCATGATTTGTTGCACTCTTTTTGGCCTGATGAATTGTTATGTATGGCAGATGCTTGAATCGGTAAAGAAAATGGCCTACAAAGTTGTTCCAAAGAGAAAGTGAACTGAGTTCACCTCCAAACATGTAGATCTCTCTGTCTCTTTCTCTCTCTCTCTCTCTTTCCTGCTCTCTCTCTTTTTTTGTATGAGAATCATGGTTTTATTTTTTCCTGAGGCTATCTTTTGACAGTTTTGGAAGTTCCACCAAGATGCCCAGTGGATTGGTCTAACAGAACCAAGAAACATTCGTCAATCTCATGGGCACATCTTTCCTTGGATCCCAGAGGTGAATCTAAACTTCCAATTATAATACAAACAAGTCAAAGGGATGAAAAGCGCAGCATTGGGAACATAGTAACACAGCAATGTCTCCGTGGTGACAGGAAGCAACTACACTGACTTTCTGTAATGTATAGAATTGTGGAATCACTATGTGGTACACCTGAAACTGACACACTGTACATCAGCCATTCTTCAGTCAAAAAAACAATAACCAAGAAAACAAACAGAAGCAACGGAATTTAGCATGCTGATTCTGTCTTTCCAAATTTTACTTTTACTTTCTATTCATTTTGTTTCCCATTTGTTTTGATTTGGTAGGTTGTTCCCCATGGGAAATTTAACTTTTTGGTATGCACATTTGATTATTTCTGCAAATGGACTGATGGTGTATAGATATCAGGGCACTGTTGGGTGAAAGATGACAGGGACTTTGTTAGTTTGCTAGTCTGTTCTGTCAATGTATTTGTCTATTTTGAGCAAATCAAAGAATTTTTATCCACTGGGGATACCCTGTTCACTTTTTTAGTTCGCTTTTTAAAAGGTTAAAAGCAACAAAACAAATAAATATGTAATACATTAACCAATGAGGGCTAACTAAACACTGGAGAAATCAGGTGGTGGTGATGGAGGAAAGCCTCACTAGGAAACTAAAGCAATTGATTTGTCAATTCCCTAGATGCAAACCATATAGTATTTTAAAGAGAGCATCTCATTTGGGAACCTCATTCATCTACTATTTATCTAATGAACCCTTACCACATGCATGTACCATGTTGAGAGGTTTAAGGGACAACAGAGATAAATGCTGTGATTCTTGTCTTCAAGGAAGTTATAATATGGAAAGGGTGGTTGTGTAGGTTGATTGTGGGAAACGTATGAAGGGAGGTACAAAGAAAATACATGGGAATTTCAGAGAAGTGGGCTACATTGTGCCACGGAGATTGGAGACATCATTGTAGAGTGGTAGCATTTGATCTGGACCTTAAAAAAAGGCTAGAATTGGAGTGGTCAGATGTAAGAGGAAAGGACAGTGATGCATCCTGGAGCATTCTTTGGCCAATGGAGGATGTGAGCTGACGGAGAAATGCTACCTTCTTCTTTACTCCTCATAGCCCTGACACACCTGTCATCTGGCTGCTCAGGTGGCCTGTGGGATCAAGCAACTCAAGCAATTAAGAAAATTGCCAGAGAAAAGCCTTGGAAATGGGAGGTCACCAGGCCTACTCAGCATTTTAGAAGCCAGTGAATCATAGTCATGAGCAAGGGAATTGAAAATAAAATCCATTCTTGTTGGTGTTTAGTTTCAGCAAAGTGAACATATAAATTATACTCTCTGAGACTAGTGGAACTTGGATTTGGGATCAAGTCTTAATTCTGCTACCTTTTTGAACATCATTACTTAAATGTTACATCCCTCAATTTCCTTATATATAAAGGAGGAATAGCAATACTTCATTGCAAGGTTGAGGTGAGGATTACATGAGGTGATATATATCAATAGGATGCCTCAGGATGGAGGAAGGGAAGGCTGGCCAACCACTCACCAGCCTTCCCAAATTTCCAGAACAATTGTGGCTAATGTAGTAGTTGGAAGTACTCAACCTCTCTATTTCATAACCTTTCTCTCTTGCCTGCCTCTGCTATAGACATTGGAAAGCTAAAATACTCAACTGGCAAAGCCCTCAACTGCCATTGCAGCTGGGGCCCCAGACCTGATTTAAGTTTTATCATTTACCTTAATTCTGAACTGAGTCCCATGGAGAGAGGACCACGAGACTTGTTTGGGAATTGAGTTCAGTGAGGACAAGAGGAGAGTTCTGGGCGTCTCCACAGCTGGCACGGGTCACAGCAGAATTGGCCTAGTCTGGGAGCTGGCACGAGGGTGTGGCTTTCTGACTGATGTACTTCCTGGAGGTGGCAGACGTCCTGACTAAGAGCCAATCACTGTGGTACTGGCTTCCCTGTTGGAGGTGGCCTCATAATTCTGGTTTGGAAGAGGGAGCAGCTCCTAGTCGGTGGTGACTTTCTGAGTTCAGCCTAGAGCCCGTTCAGCCCTGGCAATGATTCCAGAACTATCTCTGTGTTAAGAAACTCCTTATTATTTCAGAGAGCTAGATTGGATTCTTGTCTGGAGATACAGACAGGGTTCTTGTCTGTAACCACCAGGAACCCTGAATGAGATGCCAGTGACAAGTTGTGGCTAAGGTAAGTGGAAGTTTGCTGGCACAGCCTCCTCTGCTTCTTCCTGCCAGAACACAGACACAAGTCAGGGGAGCAGTTCCTACCCCTGAGGAGAGCACAGCATGAACATGAAGGAGCCTGGTACCTAGAGGACAATGCTGAATCCATGCAGCAGCTCTGGACAACCCAGTCTACAGGACACAGGTGATGTCACCTGCTCCTTGTTTTAATGACAAACTAAGCTGTGTAAAGTATGGCATGTAAGCAGTGCACAAAGGTGTGCAAAGGTGGTGGCTGTTCCGATTATTGCTCTTTGTCACTGTATCTGTTTAGGATGCTCACGCCTTCCAGGACCTCTCACTGAGTAGGGGCAAGTGGGTGCACATGGAGCCGGGTTCTCCCTAGAAACTTGAAGGCGAGACAAGCAGCTGCTGAGGAAGTCAGGCTGCATCTCTGTGTGTGGTTTGTGGAACACTCACCTCACAGTTCCTATCTCCCCGTCTTTTAAGCAAATAAACATTTATTTCCATTTGCCCTTTGTGTTGACTGGCTCACACAGTTGAAGTTGATTAAGCAAATATAAGTGTTGGGAAGCGTCATGAAACCACATCTCAGTCTGTGGTGTTCAGCTGCAGAGTCAAGCGGTGCTTGTTCACTGTTTGAATTTTAGGTTTATCCTTTACTGATTTTGTTTTCTTTCTTTTTATCCCCAGAGCAGTGCCGGCTCCTGGTAGCACATTCATCCAATACCCAGTGTATTAAGAGTGAACATCTATAACCACCTTTCCAATTTACTCTCCAGCAGTGGTGCTGGTGTAAGTGTGCACTGGAGCAGATTCAGCTGTCTTCAAACTTCAGCAGCTTCTTTGTTAAGTAATGTGCTGGTTACCCAAACTTGTTAACAATGAGGCCTGAGACTCCAAAACATTTCTCCATGTATTAGCATCTAGGTTCTCTTCCCACCGGCTTAGCCACTCCCAAATCATTACTGGTATCTTTGATTACCTTATCTCATCCTGGGCAGCATTTCTTAGTTTCCCAAAGTGGAAATCCTTTGCTTCTCCAATTTGTCAGCAGCTTCAGTCCATTGACCTGCCGCGCTGTCTTGGGGGCTTTGTCATTCCCATTGCCCGGGCCCCGATCCCTCCCTCCACCTCAGAGCCTGTATGAGTAGATTTTGGGTGTACAGCCCTGTACTTCTGAGGCATCCAGAACTGTCTGACAGAGGAAGGGGCTCCTGACATATCTTGACCTTGTCTAGCAGCTGCAGCAAGACTATAGTCCTTCTATCACACTTTGCATTAAACCTGCTCTTGAAACAGTGGACAAATTTAAACATTGGAAACTTTACTCTTAATGATTTATCCACAAATCTTATTTTGTTGACCTTCATTTTCTTAAAACTTCCTTGTCCTATTTTAAAATTCTGGATATATCTTTATGTTTCAGCTCAACATGGACCTTTCCTTCCCTTCAGGTAATATAACCAAAGAAAAGGTTGTCCATCAGCTGACAATAAGCAGCCCCAAATCTGAAATGGTTCAGTCTTGTTTAAGACTGCCAATGGCAGAAACTCATTCATTTGAGCCGGCATCACCTCTCCTTTCCTGCCTGGGGTGGGGTACAGCCTATGTGGGGCAGTGGATGAAGGGAGAAGGAAATGTACAGCGGCAACACTGTTAGCTTTGTGCAAAGAACCCAGCTTGCAAAACTTTTGTCCACTAGGGAAGGGACTTTCAGGAGGTCTGGGAGGTGAACTGGCCCAGGTTTTAACCACCAGTGAAAGGGAATAGATAGACCCACGGACTCAGATGGAGAGCCAGAGTTTAAGGAACTTGCTAGGCCTACTTCCTGAATCCTCACCAAGCCTGTGCCTTCAGCTAAGCTGGGATCTGCTGGCTGCCTACTTAAGGGCAGATGGCTAGAATCCACTGACAGGTCCTCCCATGGCATGTCTGGGGCATCAGCCAGCTAGATGAAGACAGCCCTGGCCCAGAGGACTCTGAGCACTTAAGATGGGGGCTTTAGCACCCAAGAGAGGGTGCCCACCAAACTCAACGGGGAGGACTGCTCCAACTTAGTGGGACTTCCTACACTGTGTCTCATGCTTTCAATCAGTCTTGTGCCTCATCTATTAACCCCTGTTTCCCTGGTATTTGCTACACTCTCTGGACCCAGAGCATCCTCTCAGATTCCGCTTCAGACACTGCATAGCTGAGCCAGCAAACTCCCCATCCCCCAACCCCAGGCCCTGGTTTTCAGGCCAAGTGCTCCACCTGCTGGTGACACTGGATTCTCACAGAATCCAACCTTAAACCCTGCTTCCCAGAGGCCTCTGTACACTGACCTTGACATTCTGTTGCGTGAGAGGGGATCCCTTCATCCCATTACTACTAGAACTTTCAAACAACTGACCAAAAATTCGTGTCTGTTAGAGGTGCTGTCCAGGAAACAATAGGAGATTCATTTTGTTTAAAGCCACACACTGACACGACACCACAGATAAAAAGTAGCTGCCTGGCTTGGTGAGAGGGAGGCCCAGGAGGGTGGCAGGGGAGGCACCTGCCCTCATTGTTGTAACTCATCGTCATGTGACCGTTTCTTCTAACACGTAGCCTTCAAGGCTGTGATGTGCTTGTCTAATATAAACTGTAACCATTAGAGGCTAGTCGCACTACTGCCTCCCCATCAGCTCCTGGGGCCCCATCTGGTCAAGAGGGAAATGGCCACCATGGCTGTTGCAGGCAAACACGGGCACAGGACCTGTTGTGCACCAGGCTCTGGGCTCGGCCTTCACCGGTATTGTCCTCACGCACTCCACACCAACTGCAGGTGGAGGTCCTAGGCATTGGCACTTCTGTATGCGCTTGAGAAACTAAGCACAGAGAGCTGAAGAGGCTTGCAAGGGCACACAGCTGGCATGAGGAGGCCCCAGGGGCCAGCCTCTGCCCCACCATGCTATCCCGGGTCAGCGGGGAGGAGGCAGGTCCAGACACCAACCCCCACCCCTCCCCATGGGAGTGATCACACCAGCAAGGAAGGCAAATGGCTTCCAGGTGAAGCCGGCCTGGTGCTCCCACTCTGGGCCCTGCCAGCCATCGTGAGCCCAGCCTCTCAGCCCCAGGCAGGGACAACAGCCCAGGGGGGCAGGCAGAAAGGCAGCCCCAGCACTAGAGCCAGCAGTCTGCAAGCTGACTTTGCAGCTGCTGCCCAGGAAGCTCTGTGGGGTGTCAGGCCCTGCTGAGACCACAGCCTTCAGTCCTGCAGAGGTAGGAGCCCTCCCAGCTACAGTTTCAAACTAGCCTTGGGATCTTGTCTCCACCTCCTTGGTCTCCTCCCCTTTTCCCCCATCACACCTTCTGCTTCCCTTTTACCCTCTAACCTCTAACTGGGTTGTTTCACCTTCACTGAATCCCAAGCCCCAGAATGGTGTTGAAGACATTGTCGATGTTCCAGAGAGATGTCTCAATTGACAGTGTGAATGAAGGCTATGAAAGGGCACACTTTCCACTGAATAGACTCTAGGATGCTGGTCATTCTCCAGATTCATTCTGGACCTTTCTGTCTGCCCTGTGCCTGAGGCTGACTCCACTGTCCACAACACCAGGCCCTCTGGGGGCTGCATTTGCTCCAGCACTAAATGGGGGAATGGGGGGTAGGGCGGTTTCCCCTGGCCCCTCCCTGCTTTGCTTCCTTGCTGACAGCCCCTCAGGGGCCCAGAGGACAGCAACCCCTCCTGCCTCCAGGCCCAGGGTGGGCACAGCTGCCCCCAGCATCTGGGAGGCTCCCCTTCCTCCTCCTCCCTTCCCCCTGCCCACAGCTCTGCGGACTCACCTTCCTTGGCACCCCTGGGAATGAAGTGCTCCCTGTGGGCATCTTCTCTGATCCACCAGGCAACCCTTCTTGTGTGTGTATATGACTTTGGTACTTTATCTGCACAGACAAATCATGCGTGCATGACCTTTCCTTAAAATTAAAAAAAAAATGCATCTAAAAAAAATCTTTTTGTATTATCCAGTTACTGGCATGTGGACTAAAAGTGCCTTGGGCCTGCCCTCTGGGATGGGGTGTGTATGTTTACCATCAAGGGAAAATGTTTAACTGGGTAAAATTTTAAAACATCTAAAAAACAAACTGTCATAAAACAAAAAGTTTCAAAAAATTACAAATAAGAAAATTTGATTGGCAAAATGTAACCTCCCCAAATTAATCTATGAATTTAGAGCTAACCTAGCACAAATACTATTAAGTTTGCATGGCATGTTGTTGTTTAGGCCTTTTTTTCCAATTGCTTCTTAAAGATCAATCAAAATTTACTCTGGTAAACATTAAATTACTTATCCTACAGATTTCTAACACATGCTCACTTATTTCAGAATGGCATGCAATATGCTCCTGACATTTCTAGTGTCTGTATCCATTGCCACATGTCAAAGATAGCTAAAGAACAGTGGAGCTTTTATGTAAATCAAAATACAATACTTCTAATTTTAGAGATTCCGATGATGTGAAGGAATGTTTGAAAAATATTCTTAAAATTATAATGCTATGCTTACTTGGATAAGGGAATTGTAGTATCAGTTAAATAACAGTAGCTAAACCTAAAAGAGATAAATCAAAATTAGTTTAAAGACAGAAACACCTGCAGAGCTGTGCCATGGCTGTGGGTGGTCAGGACCTGGCTGCCGTGAGCTGAGTCACACCTGCAGGTTACCCCTGGCCCCTGGGCCCTCATGGTGACACCCTCCTCCTTCCTGGGGGAGTCCTGAGGATTCAGGGGATCCTGGGACAGGCTGTGGCCTCTGCAGGCTGCAGGTGGAGCAACAGGAGCAGAAGGGCCACTTGGGAAAGGCTGTAGGTGGGCCTGGGCATCGGTCAGCATTTGTCTGATGCAGTTGCCTTCTCTTCTTCGCTCCATGCAGTTTCTCTCTGTCAGCACGGCTGCCTTCCAGCTTTCCTGAGCCCTTTTCTCATGCAAGAGGAACTTCTTTTGGTAGAAGGACGTTTCTCTCCAATTTTTTGCCCATGTCTTCGGCTATCTTGCACAGCTGGTGAATCTGCAACTTGGAATTCTGGTTTCTGCACCAGTTGATCAGTTTCTTCTCCATTTCTGCACACCTCTTTTCCTCCTTAGCAATTTGCTCCCAAATTGCATAGTACGTTCTTGGCGTAGTTCAAGCAGACTCTGGAGCTTCAGCTGAAGTAGTTGACTTTCCAGCTGTAGGATTTCACACCTCAGAGATAATTCCTCTGCCTGGAGGGCAGCAGTTTGTTTTCTCAGTTCTTTATTCACTTGCTTTTGTTCCCTCAATGGTCTGGCTCTCTCAGGACTTTGAGGGGACACAGGGGAGTCAGCATCGGCATGTCAGCCTTCAGTGTCACTTCTGCCCCAGGGATAGGGTGTTTGCAGTTTCCCACTTCCCGCTTCTGCTTGATGTCCAGGCTCCCGCCATCCAGATGTCTCGGGGGCGCAGGTGCGGGGACAGCGTGGAGCAGAGCCCCAGCCACTGATGGTAGTCGGCTGACTCCCTTTCAGGACCTGCTCCACATGTTCCTTCTCCTCCTTCTCCTCCTCCTCCTCCTTCAGCTTCTGCCTGCATCTTGCGATGTCCCGGGCAAGGACTTCTGCCCTCTCTGGAAAAGCAGTGTCTCCATTCCAGTCATCCAGCATTTTATCTCCAAGTTGCTCACCATCCTTCTGTGATGCCCTGAGGGTGGGTTTCTCATCAGTGGCCTTGGGAAGTGTAGGAGGCTGGCTCTCCCCCATCCCTTTGCCAGAAGGCCCAGAGTGATCTGAAGGGACAGAGTCAGGTGTGTGGTCACTGCTGCCAAGCTCAGGCTTTGTAGGGTGGGAGGACTGGCCTCCCCTGCAGGTGGCCTGCCGGTGTCATCGGCTGGAGTCATTCGTTCTGTAGTGTCACTATGGTTTCCAGGTACTTCATGGTGGGCAGGACAGCTTCTGCCCTGAGCCTCGGTGCTTCGTGAATTCCATCCTCTGCTTACCATGAAAAGCAGCCCCACACAACATAACAGGGTCCCCCAGGGGAACCCATGGAATCCAGTTAGGCATCCCCAGCTGTCAGCGATCACCAGGAGGGCCCCCCACAGGCCCTCCAGCATCAGCGGGCACGTGAGTCCCGCGGCAGGCAGCAGGCTCTTCATGGCTGTGGGGGCTCCACAGCTCTGCCTCCAAGTGCCAGTGTCTGGTCAGAGGGGACCGCTCAGAACCCTGCAGAGTTCCGTCACTAAGGTCAACAGGGGCCGTAATAATAGGGCGGGTGGGTTAGGTCCGGGAGGGGAGGCCTGCCAGGTCCTAGAGCACTGCTCTCCCTACCTGCTCTGACGAGGAAGTGATGTCACCTGTACAGGCCCACAGGGCAGGAGGGAAAGGCCCATCCTAGCCAGGAGCTCTGATCATCTAGGCCCACCTGGGCCTGCAGCAGACCTAGGGGACAACACAGGGCCAGGCCAGGTCCCTTTCTGTGTATGAGGGCAAGTCACGGCAGAGGTGCTGGGCCACGTTCCAGCTGTGGCCCTGTCTCTTGATTTTACATTTTCTTCTGCTTCAGGGATTTCCACTGCTGTCCACCAGGGTCCTGGCATCTCCCTCATCCGAGGCTCCCTCCCTCCTGGTGTTGGTCACTGTGGGTGTCACATGAACATGTTCCCTGCCAGTATTTATGGAATCCTGGAAATACAAGTCCGGGCACACCATAGCCATGCTGTCTGCTGCTCAGCCCAGTGGTGTTCTGGGTTTCAGTGGCACATGTCTCCAGACTAAGATGTGTGTGCCCACACGCTTCTCAGGGGTCCCTCAGGAAGGGGTGGTGGTCACACAGAGCCAGGCCTGACTGTGCAGCCTGCCTGTGGACAAGGGCTCGGGCCAGCCTTGGGGATGGTGGTCCTGAGTCTCTGACTGGGGTCGCTGCTGGAACCTCCACCTGGATGGAGTGGGGGTGGGTCAGGAAGCAAGTTCACATTCACACCCATCACTCAGGGGGCAGTGTGTGAAGTTCAACCCAAGTGTCTGAAGTGCGGGAATCAGTGCCTTGTTCTGCCTGGTACCCCATGTGTGGGTGCCCAACAGTGACACCAACATCACGGGCACCACGGAAGTCACCAGAGATCATCTGGCCTTAACTGTGACCTCCCACCCACTGGGGGCTTCCACTCAGGTGCAGTGCCAACCCATGCCCCTCCCAGGAGGAGTCCATGGGGCTCACTTCCTCTCCCTCCCTGCACAGGACATGGATGCCTTTGCTGTCTGAGGTTGGAGTTGACATCTGCCAGTCATCCTGTGAGGGGTGGACTTGCTCCTGGATGAGGCTAGAAGGGCCTTTATTTCAGGTCTGGAAGGTTGTCTTCATCCAGTGTTTTGAACAATGACAGAACTTTATTTTCCAGTTCACTGTTTCTCTCTTTAGCTGCCTAATCTATCCATTAAACTATTAATTTCAATGAGTTTATTTTCATTACCATAGTAGTTTTGGTATATACATAATTAATAGATATAATTGCTTCTTTTTAAATATGCCTGTGTTCTTTTTCTATAGCCTTTCATTACTTGTTCATGTTTTAGATTTCCTCTGTTATTTATTAAGAACCCTGTTGTTTTTACTGCTCACTGGTACTCATATATGTAGTTCAGAATCAACAGGATTTCATCTCTAGGAGTCTGTGGGGCCTGTGTTGATGATGTTTGTATGCAGAGAATACTTGTGTGGGGTTTTTTGTTTGTTTCTTTTTGTTTTTTTTGTTTTTTGTACGTGTGTTTTTGTTTTTTGTTTTTTTTTACCAAGTACCCTGGGACAACTTTGTTAGTTTCTCAGCTTGGGTTTCCTGCTAAAGGTAATATGAATTCAAAACCCCAGACTCAAAAGGCAGGCCTATGGTCACAAATTCTCAGGGGAGATCATTTTTCCCTACAATCTATTGCTAAGTGGAGACAAGCTTCCTTGTTACAGTTTTTTACATGAAGGCTTATTTGTTTCCATCCACCTCCTCCTGGATGTCTAGCTTTCCAGGTCCTGGCTTTATCTGGAGACATGTGTTCTAACTGTTCACTTCACATTGGCCTCATGCACATGTTAAATCCTTCTTGACCATCAGAAGGCCCCAAGGTACCCATAGGGTCAGTGCCAGCTAACCTCCCCAGGTTTCTGATTCCTCTTCTCTTTTGTTCCCTGGATACTTAGTCACTCACTCAAGCATTTAAAGGAACTTTATTATCTTTGTTTCAGCAGCTCTAGGTATTTCATTGTAGAAATATCAGAAAAGCCAGTTCCAGTGTATTTCCAGAAATGGATTACAGGTCCTATTCTGTAATCAGTTCTATTGGGCTAGAGAGTACTACTTTTAGACAGGATGGAATGGACAATACCTGTAAGTCCTGGGAAACATCTGAGTCTGGTACATTAAGACATAAACATGACAGAAGTGGTGCTGCTGTAAACAACTTGTAACTTATTTGTTTTAGTGTTAGAGAAGCTGCATGGGTTCAAATCCCCAAAAGTTACTTAACCACTTTGTGCATCAGTTCCTTCAGCTTATTATAACAGTTTCCCCTTTGCAGGGTTATGAGGAACAGATGAGTGACACATTTCATGCACACGCAGTGGTTAGGACAGGGCCCTTAAAGGTCCTTCAAACACTGGTAATATTTTTAACTCACCAACTTCCCTCGTGCTGAGGGAAGTCAAGTAAAGAAGTTACTGCCTATGCTGGGCCAGAGTTTTAACTGAGTTGGTGCATACATAGGGGCCAGCTAAGGGGTAGCAGAGCAATGACCTCCAGGGAAAAGGAGAAGCTCAGAGAAAACAGATTAGAGGCACTTGGTCAGCTACTCTCCCCACCTGCGATTCTCTTTCCAGTACTGCAATATTGGTGACTCTAGGATGTATGATATTAAGAAAGCTATTTCCTTCCAGAAAGATACATACACACCAACCTTATTAGAACAGTGGCAGAGTATCAAAACCCTTCAGAGTGCCCTCACACCTACCTTCCAGGTCCATTACTAGCTCAAATGATGAGATTATGGGCTTTTTGAAACCAGACCAGTACTGGGTTCAAATTCTGCCTTTATAAATTGTATTAGTTGTGGAACTGAGGTAGGTGGAAAGGTAGGAGCCAGATGGGAAACAAACAGGAGAATCGAAGTTCAAACAATTTTCTCCTGTATCTCCCAGACCACCTCATGCCCGCTTCCACTTTGGAGGGTGGGTCTACTCAGCGAGCAATTGAAACATAGTGGTCAACCCCCAGACTGTCTAGAAAGGTCAGGCAGGCTGTGGCACCTCTTTCCTCTCCTCCCCCCGACCCCGCCACGCTCAGCACCACCCTGGCCCAGTTCCCCAGCCTGGCCGTGGCCCTGGGCTCCTGGTCGAGTCCGCCTCTGCCCCACTTCCAGTTGGGTGGTCCTGGGCAAGTCAGTCAGCCTCTCTGCGGCTGGGAGTGCAGCTGCAAAGTGAGACTGCTGCTCCCCTCGGAGGGCTGCTGTGAGGGCTCCCCTCGGAGGACCCTGGACCCCAGGGCTCTCACTCCCTTTCTGCTCCCGCCCTGAAACTGCTGCCAGGTGCCCTTTCCAATAACACACCCGGGACACCAAAGCCATCAATAATAGACGATGCGCTTGCCCAGACTCCACCTCTGTGCTGCAGAAAGAGCCAGCACAACACTTTTCAAATGTAGTTGCTTTCCATGGAAACAGACTAGCAGTTCTGGACGCTTGCTCTTCATCTCTCTCCCTCTCTGACTGCTGGACAACTCCTTCGCACACTCGGTTTGCTTTCCTTTGGTGATGAGCTGGTTTTTCACTCCACAAAATCTTTGAAAGTGAAGATGATCCTGAACAAAAGGATGATGTGACCAAGGCATCAAAACACGCAGAGCTCTGTGTGCAGGAGGGTGTGCAGGCACAGGCATGTGTGTACATGTGGGCCTGGGTGTTCACGTGTGTGCATGTGTGTGTGTTGGGATGCAGTGACAAACCCTGTCACTGGTCTCCCTGGTGGTGAGCCCTGCGGGAGGGGTGAACGGCCAGTGACCATGCCTGTGTGCCCTGGATGAACTGATGCACAGGCAGGAGCAGCCCTGCCCTTGGAATACCAGCGCAGTGGCTCTGTGCCCTGGCTGTACAGTGGAATTGCCTCGGAGCTTTTAAAAGGAGACCAATGCCTGGCTCTTCCCAGACTAATTAAATCAGAAGCATGGGAGCATCCATGCATTTGTTAAGATTCAAGCCATTCTAATGTGCATCCAGGTTTAAGACCTGCTACTTATGTGAGCAGACAGGAAGGTTCAACCACTCCTTAAGGGGCAACCGTGTCCCCTCCATCAAGATCTAGTTCCCACCCCTGAGCCTCCAAGATCAACTGAATTACCATTTCTCTGATGTATTACACAGGCCACATGCCATGAAGCTGACTACAGTATCACCAGGGCTCAGATATGGAAGTTGACACAAACTTGCACAGATTATCTGTGCCAAGATTTGAAGCCCTCTTAAATTGCAAAGGTACAGAAATTATGGGTGGATGATGCCAAGATGGAGCACAGAAAGGGTTCCTTTCTATGTGAAGGTGCCGCTGGGTAATCTTGCCCCTTGCACATGAATTTGAGAGGTGCCTCTGTACCTGCACCATTTTTTCTGCATGTGAAAGGCATCCTGGCAGGACATTGTAAATGACGTCTTAAATGCTGCCTTTTTCTACTTTTGATACGACCCTATTTCTACTGTCCAAGTTCTAAGTCACATCTTCATTGATGTGAGATTCAATACGATTCTTGACATTCTGGTTATTTCCCATCCCTCAGAGCCGAGCTTATTTTGCAGGATGTGGGTGTGCTATGTGCTCAAATGCCAGCCCTGAGCCTGTGCTCTCACCTGTGCCACCAAGGTAAGGCTTTGGGCTTTCAGTTATGTAGATGTTGTATTAAGCTATCCTTGTATTTCTCGTTTTTTTTTAAATGCCGTGTTGGTTTAGGTTATCTAATACTCTATTTACACACATCCATGTCCTTAAGAAATAATCCCATAATTGCCTTACTTTGTGTTATCTTCAGGTAGTTTTGTATTTAAGGATATACTAGTCTCTTAGAAAAATGTTGTAATTATTTTCCTTCTTTTCTGTTTTATGTAGCAAACTGAACAAGACAGGGATTATCTGTTTTCTGAAAAGAGAGTTAAAATTTACCTAAAAATCGTCTGTATCTTCGGAAAGATATGATTATCACATAATTGTGCTTAATGATTGTTGGTCTATTCAAAATTTCTAGTGCATTTTGTGCCAATTGTGGGGTTCTTTTCCCTTTTGCAGAAATCTGTCCATTTCTTTTAGTTGAGAAAGTTTTTGTGGATAGTTTACAGTATTTTTCATTATTGAAAATCTTTCTACTTTGATTATTTAATCTAAAAAATGTTCTTTAGTGCTTTTTCATTCTCATTGTAATAGATTTCTCTCCTTATCTTTGCGTCTTTTTCCTTCTTATTTGTTTGGGGTGGTTCTGTTGTACTTTCTCCAATTTCTTGATTTGAACACATATAGTGTACATTTCAAGCTATAAATTTTCCTCTATGCACCATCTCAGATTTCACTATGTAAGGTGTTCATTTTGTTGCATTCCAAGTCTTTCGTTTTTCCCTTGTACTTTTGTAGAATTACTTAGGTTTTTTCACCCCCTTCCCCTAGCATTACAGGCCTTTTAAAAACCTTTCATCTTATCGAGCTCTAATTTTATTGCTTGATAGTCAGAGAACATGCTCTGTATAATGTTAATTCAGGGGAATTTATTGAGGCCTTCTTCGTGGCCTAGAATGTGGTCAATTTTTACGACTTCCATGTTATTTAAAACATGTTTGTGGGTATAAAATTGTCTTACTGATTTCAATACATTGTTATTCAAATTTTCTTTATTTTTCTCATATTTCTAATGATTAGGATAGTAGGCCAGTCTCCACAATACTTTGGAGTTTATCATTTGATATTTTAAACTCTAAAGTGGTATGGCTTTTGCTACATTTTGATGTTCTGGGAATAAGTACATCAACTCATTAACCTAGCAGTTTTGAGTGGTCTGGTCTGAGACTCTGCTCATCAGCATAATACATGTTTATTGAGGACATGGCTCCTGCAGGCATTGTTCCAGTAGGACAGTCACATACTTACTGAATAGATTTGAAAGAAAATTTTTAAAATTTGAGACATGTCTCCCAATTGTAAAATGTAACACAGGGTGAGGGTTGGAATTGGCATGCAGATTGATGCACAATGTTTAGGAGCTCCTCTTCTCCTGGTCCATGACCTGCTCCTTTGTCTACGTTTTCACCCCCACTTCCACCACACCATCCTGCCCCATTCAGTGCCACAGTGACTAAAACACAGCTATTAGAAATTCATGTTGGTGGTTGTGATCTCCAAGTGTGCTCTTAAAGTATAAAAATAAATTTATCAGTTGGTTGCAAACTGTTATTCTCCAAAACCCTTATGGTGAATTTATCAAATTTATTTCTTTTCTCAAGTCTAGCTAGGAACACTTCTGTAAGAGAACAGGTTATGGAAGAAGGGTGGGGAAGTAGAGGGATTTAGCATGGCGAGGGAGGTGGGACAAGGAAGAATTCTTGAGGAGGTGTTTTTCAGGGAAATGAGTTCTGGGAAAGCTGGAACAGTTAGGGCTTTGGGAAGATGGGGCAGCAAGAAGGTGCTATATATGCTTGTGCAAGGAGGTGGGTCAGCAGAGTGGACCTGGGGAGATTTAGGAAGACAAACTTCATCTTGTTGTGCCCAAAGTCACTAATCCCAAAAGACCACCAAGGAGCCAACACCGATGCAAAAGCAAAGAGCCTTTATTCGAGCTAGCTCGAGCTCAATCTCTCATCCACACCAATGCAGTGGCAAGATGCCAGAGAAAGAGCGCGCGTTTTCCCCAGAACAAAGGTTTTATGGGTTTCTAGGGCGGTTTGGGGGGGTGATGGCCGTGGCCCTGGCTGATTGGCTGCGCCTGGGGGTAGTTGGGGGGTGATGAGTCATGGCTTTGGTCAGTTGGCAGGGTCCAGGGGTGGTGGGTGTTCTTGCTGACTGGAGGGGTGAGAGGGACTAAGCTCCAACTGGGTGAAATAGGATCCAGGTCCCGATTGGCTGAAATAGGATCCAGGTCCCAATTGGCTGAAATAGAATCTGGGAGTTTGCCCTTTCAATCTATGTCGTGTTTTTTTGGTCAAGACTGGCCTCACACTTAGGCTAGTTCATTCCACATTGGACAAGAGGGAAACATTTTCTACTCATCTTCAATTTTGCCTGAGAAGGAAAAAGAAAGCAAATTTGATGCCTCTATTTTCTTCTGTCTTACTATCTTTTCAGTTAGAAGCAAATAAGGTCCTTTCTCCAGACAGGCCTTTTATATAGAGAGCCATATAACTTATCCAGAAGTTTGTTGGTGAGCCTGGTATCTGAACAAGTGGGGCTAGTGACCTGGCAACAAGGACTCAACACATCAGGCTTAGTCTGAAGCACCCGTCTGTACTCTGAGCCATGCCTCATCAGGTATGTATGCCTCTGGCCAAGGCTGGGATTGGCACTGACAACTTGTTTGTTTCTAAACCGGGGTTAGGGTACACTGGGTGGGTGGCTCCACTGTTTATTAGCTGGGTAGTACTGGCAAGTTCCCTCACACTTTACGTCTTTGTAAAGAGAGAATAATTTGCCCCAGTCACACAGGCAGAAACTGAATACAGGCTTTTGACTGTTTCCTACTTCTCCCTGCTACCTCTATGGTCAGGCTCACTGCAGCTGCAGACAAAGTTGGTGGTTGGCAACGAACCACAGAACAGAAGCACTGTCGACAAAAAGGCTGTCTTTACTAATAAGAGGGTTGCCTTTTTCAGCCTGAATTGTGAGCACATCCCTCTCTCTTAACACTGCCGCATGAGCACAGATCTGCTGGGGTAACTCTGGCTGACCCACCTGCAACATGGGCATTTCCACAGGCAAAACAGTCTTGCCAGAGGCTCAGGGTTCACACAATGGGCTTTTTCCACCAGACTCGGAAACCCTAACAGGCCACAAAAGACCATGTCCTTAGATGATCATTACACATCAGAGATCACAAGGCAGTATTTGCTCCCACTAGTGGGTTCCGGGAATCACTAAATTACTCATCTAAGGAACTGGTTCATGATTAACTTGAACACATAACCAAGTATTGATGAAGCCATATTAAATGCACCAGCCTGTTTTTACTTAGTCCTTTACTCCTGAACTTACTTTCAGAGCATTTAATGCCGCTCTTCAGTCAATAATGTCTTACAAAAACACAGTACAGATTTCCCATCAAAGCAGTTTTTCATACATTGCATCACTTTCTCAGCTCAGGACACCCCCAAGGATTAGGTAGGGCTGGCTTTGCTGGCTCTCTTTCAATGAGGGGATCTGAGATGTGGAGGCGGCTGCACTGACCCCCAGGGTTTTTCACAGACCCTACTTCACCCCTGGCGCCCTGCATAGCCAAAAGGGCTTACGTCCTCTCACCAGTATAGCGAAGCCTGGTGAAGGTGAGTCTGGGGCAACGTTCCACCGAACTGGGTAAACTAGGGGTCAGAGTTAGGGGCCCCGCACGACCCTTGGCTCAGGTGCCCGAGGGCGGCCCTCCGGCATAAGCCTGCCGTGTGACACCCCGCGGAGTGTCACGCAGGTTCTTCAATCGGCACCGCTAGAGCGCCCCCAGATCGAGAACGGCTGTGAGCGAGCTCCAATGACGCCCCGGGCTCCCTTCGGGGAATGGAGGATACGGGGCTTCCACCCGCCAAGGCCCCCGAGAGGCCCGTCGGGGGCAGGGGGCGCGCCCCACGTACTAGTCACTGCGCAGCTCTGCAGGGGTGTCGTGGGTGTCCGTTATCCCCGGGCCGGGAGCTGATCAGAAACGATGGCGGACACAGAAGATAAGTAAGAACTTTGCACCCACGCCACCACCCGGACCCTTCCGGTCCGACAGCACATCCGTGGCCCCACCCCTTCCACCGGACCAGAGAGCCCCCTCCCCCGAGGCCCTGCCCCTTCCTCCTGCCCAGATGTTCTCCCGAGGCCCCGCCCCTTCCACAGCCCCCAGATACTCTCGAGGTCCCGCCCCTTACACCGCCCCACTCCCCCCGAGGCCCCGCCCATTGGCCTTCCCAGACTCTCCCGAGGCCCCGCCCCTTCCGCCGTCCTTCCCAATTCTGGACCACAAGTTCCCCTTAAGTTCGTCTTTGCTCTCCAGCGCGGCCCCTACCTCTACCGCAGGTGTGTGGGTCCCGGCAGCCCCGACCTTAGGCATACGGACCCCCAAGAGGAAGGCCCCAGCGGCCAGGACGGCGCAGCTAAGCAGGCCCGCCGTGAAGAGCTTACGGGCGTGCGCTTCAAGGCTTAGCTGAGGGACCCGCAAGGCGCGGGGCCGGGTGAGTTTGGGGCAGGCCTGGGCGGGAGCGGGTCCGAGCCGGGCGGCCTCCAGGCCCAGAGTGGGGGCTCCTCAGTCCGCCCCACACAGACCCTTCTTTCTGCAGCTTTGCGGTCACCGAGGGTCGGAACCCAGCCTCCCGACCCGCCGACGGGAAACCGAGGCCCGGTGCTTGGGCTCCCAGGGTCCCGGACCGGCCGGGACCGCTGTGGGTCTGCTCGCCGCACTTCTTGCCCTGGGCTGTCAGCCAAGGCTGGAGGGCTCGACTAGCTAGATTGTGACAGGTCCCCGCGACTTAACGTCCCCACCTGACCCGCGCAGCATCCCTGAGCAAGTGCTGAAACCTTTTTATTGCTATTGTCAGGAGAGCAAATAATTGAATTGCTCAGTCACACAACAAATACTTAAGGAGTCCCCACTGTGAGTCTGCTGGGGGCCGCTCAGGGACACACTGTTCCTCCAGGGTGTCAGCGCCATTTTCAATAGCTCTCACCCTCCAACACTCACACTGACCTGAGAACATGCAGTAAGCTACCAGGTGAAGCCACCACGAGGACTTGGCATTTGACCGAGGTGGACTAGTGACTGCTGTGGAGCAGATGCTTTAATTTCACTTTTTGCAAAGTGTGACCACCCTGCACAGCTCCTTGTAATCCATTAGAAAGTATGTAAGTTAGAGGGGAAAAAAATTGAATATTCTAGTATGTGGAAACACCGGTACTGTGTCCAAGTAAAACAGTGGCAGTGTTTCTTCCAGGTTAGGGAAATGATTAAATTAATGAAGAGAATACCTTCAGTTTTCAGTTTTTCTCTCATTGACCAGGTTTTTTAATGTTTGATACTTACACCTGCTATCCAGTGCTAGGAAGATGATACCTGGTTTAGCACCGAATTAATACATTTCATTCATTCATTCCTTAATTCCTTATTTACTTGGGGCTGTTATTCGCTAGGCAGAGATGAAATGGTGAGTGAAAGTCAGACACCAGCCCTGCCGTTGCGGAGCTCACACATAGTCCAGTGAGGGGGCAGATGCCAGTAAAATCACACAGGGGTGCTTGTCAACACAAGTGCCCCAAAGGAAATGGACACAGTGCCTGTGGGCCTTGGACCTGATCTCGAAGAGCCAAAAGTCTCCCTTGAGGACGTGGCTTTTCAGCAGAGTTGTAGGATGGGACAGGGACAGGGACAGGAACCTCTGTGACAGAGGAAAGGGCATGTTTAATTATTTCAAAGATTGTATCGCATGTGCATTCCTGGTTTTGCCCAGTGAGCTCCATGCCACTCGGTGCTGCATGTGAACAGGTTTCAGAAGAAACCCGGGTCGGTGGGTGCACGTGAAGTAGTTGGAGGGTGTGGCCAGGCTGAAGTCAGTGGGCGGAAGTGCGAATCCCTCGTGTGAGATGTGGACCTGTGCTTCAGTCTGATTTCTATCTTAGACTCTCCATCACTAAATGCCCTCATAACTTCCTGTGATATGTCTGCTTGAAGGTCAGGAAAGTGGAATTGAGGGGTGGGAGGGGGTTTTGTTTTTATTCAAGCGTTTGGGAAGGTTTTGTTCTTGGTTTTATTTTTGTGTCCAGCTTTATTGAGGTACTATGGACATATGTAAGTTTAAGGTGTTCAACGTGATAATTTGGTCACCTCTGTGGCGAAATGATGACCAAAGTACTGTTAGTTAACACCTCCCTTCCCTCCTATAATTATCTTTTTTGTGTGGTAATGATGTTTAAAATCTATTCTCTAAATAATTTCTAAGTTTGTAATGCAATACTGTTAATTAGAGTCACTGTGCTCTATATGTGATCCCAGAACATACTTATCTTATACCTGGAAGTCTGTACCCTTTGCCTAGCATCTCCCCATGTCCCCCAGTCCCCAGCCTCTGAACCTCCATTCTACTGTGTGTAAGTTTGACTTTTTAGCTTCTACGTGTAAGTGGCACCATACACAGTTTGTCTTTCTTTGTCTGACTTCTTATGCCTGGGGGGAGAGCTGCAAGGCTGGATTGGGAAAGACCCACAGGATGCTCAGGGGTGGATCACTGTCAGCATCACAGAGGATCCCTGGGTCAAGAACAGCTCTGCTCTAAACCAGTTGCTTTGAAAGTTGTTGCCCGGGACTTCACTGACGGTAGCAGAAAGGCTATGTCGTCACTCTGCTTCTCCATCTCAGGAGGTGGCACTTCCAGTCACCTGGATGTTCCTGTCAGAAATCCCCCTCTGGCAGTAGCAACTGTGATTACTTCTAAGACCATATCTTAACGTTGGACTATAACTCTTCTTTCAGCCTTGGAAGCGTTTGTCTCTGCTGCCAAGAAGCTACTTGGAGACGACGTGTATGACGTTGTGGAAGGGTACACAAAGATTTCTGTGAAGTGTGTACAGAGCTCTTCCAGCTCCTGGGCGGGGAGAAGCGGCCTGAAAGTGAAGTACGTTTTTCCTTACCTGGCGTGATGAGGAGAAGAACAAATTAATGCTACTGTTGTGTCAGGCTTGATGGGGAGCAATGTGGTACAAGTTTCTAAGACATTTCCAGCTTCCTACAGGAACTGATGCTTTGTCTCTGTGCTGCAGGAATCCATTCAGTTTGGGTCATGACCTTAGAAAGCGTCTTAGGGGAAAGTGCAAACTTCTCAGTGAGTGATCCTAGCAGGAGGGTTCATAGACTCTTCATCTGACTGCACTTGGTTTTGCCGTGGTTTTAACTAAAGGGAAGGAGGTAAAAGCACAGGTGCAGGCACATAGTGAGTTGATTGTTGTTTTCTATTTCCAAAGAGGTTCAAATTTGGGATATTTATGCACCAATTAAAATCTTAGGATTTTTGCTGTAAGGCTTGTAGGCCTGAATATTCCCAAAGCAGTGAGGCTACATGATTAGTAGAAATTGTCCTTCTCTCATTTTGTGCAGTTGTAAACTGAAACTCCCTGTTTAGCTAGACTGTGGGAGCAAGACCAGTTTCAGACTCTGAGAGCTGGCAGGTCAGCCTGCTGAGCTGTCACCTTCCTGCCCTTGGATGGACTGAATCCCACATGTTGGTGTTTTAAATCTGCAGTTACTGTGGGTAAGGAGGGAGGAGTGTATGTGTAGAGGAGGAAAAGAAACAAGGTGATTCTCAAGTATGTCAATTCTGTCTTTGTAGATGCTATTAATGTTTCAAGTTTTTGAAGCCATATTATTGCAGACGGCAAGCGATCCTTCCATTTTCATGTTGTGGGGACCAACATCGTGAAAAAGCTAATGAGTAACCACATGAAGCTCATCTGTGAGTCGCTGTACGCCTCAGGTTACAGGTAAGTTGCCTGCCTGTACCTGGCAGAACTTGCCCTGGGCTTGGTCTGCGCTCAGCTCTTGGTCTGTGTTCCTCTGTGCACAAGTACGTTTGGCTTTTCTTCCACTCACGAAGCAGCACTGAGTGTTTCTGAGGCCACTGCAGCTGTGGCTTTGCTCTTCCTTCCTCTGGTGACCAGCCCCTCACTGTCACTGCTCCCCTCCTACCATGTCCTGCTGCTCTCCTGGCTGTTTGGGGAGCACTCCAGACGTCCTGAACGTGGTCTGTCTTCTGCCCTGATGGCCCTTCTCCAAGATGGTCATAGGCTCCGTCTCTGCCTTCAGGGCTTTGCAGAAGTACCATCCCAGGGAGGCCTTTTTTGACCATCCTATATTCAGTGTCACTTTTTGTCCCTTTAGCCAGTAGAGAACAGTGTCTGTTTGTCTACTTGTATCGCTGTACATTGTATGTAATATTCTATGTCGGCGTGCCAACTGTCTCCCTCCACTAGAATGCAAAGTACATGTGGGTGGGGGCTTTACTCTCTTAGAAAATGCTGTTTTCCCAGCACCTGGAACAGTGCCTGGTATGTAGCAGGTGCTCAGTAAACCACAATGCTGGGTGACTGCAGAATGGAAAGGCAGCCAAGAGATGAACCTTCCTCTGGGCCCACGAAGGCAGGTCTCCCTGTTACAGAGGATGAGGTGAAAAGTACAGCCCACCAGTTACACACCTGCACTGCCATGGCTTCCTAGCCTACCTGATTGCTTCCTGCTCACCATTAGGTATCCCCGGCCATTTAAAGGAGAGAGAATTTGCCATTCTTGGTATCTTGCATTTTGTAGTCATGGATCTTCTTCAGACTCAGTTTTTGAGCTTTATTTGAAGATTTTGTCAAGATTTTTTAAAAAAGAACCTGTCTGCATGCTCCCTGCCTTCCTTTCCCTGGTTTGGGGATAGCCGAGTACACCACCTCTGTGCAGGCTTTGTGGGGAGGTGCTTTGTGCTCCTGCCGGACCTGACGTGCCCTGTGTCCCCATTGTCCCGTGCAGGATGGCTCGAGCCTGTCTGAACCTGAAGGCTGCCATGGTGACCCAGGGCCCCGAGGCCACCAGGGATGTCTGCAGCCATTTAGATTTGAATAAAAAGACTTTGTACAGCCTGGCGACCAAGAGGAATTCAAGGTGAGGAGCCCCTAGCATCCTGTACCTCCCATCTGCGCCTTGGGGCTGTGCTTGTCTCACGGAGAAGGAGGAGGCCTCGGCGTGGAGAAGCGTGTGCCTCTGAAGCCTGTGAGGAAGGCGGGCCTCGGCCCTGGCCCGCAGTGGGGGCCCCACTGCCTGGCAGAGAGGCTGCATGACAGGGACGTCTGAGGGCAGCTTCTCAGGTGCCCAGTGTTGCAGTGCATAATTTTCTGAAATTATGAATGAGGTGTCCTCGCCCGTGAGGACGACTGAGTTGGGAGGGTCTCACAGAGGAAAGGGAGTGACCTCCGAGCACCGCGTGGTGGTGGGCCTTGCGGAGGGTCCCTGTCCGTCTGTTCATACTCCGAACACTTTGGAGAAAACCCAGAGGGCTCTTCTGGCTTTTTACCGTGTGACTTGTGCCTCCCAGTTATGGGTCGTTTAATGCGTAGGGGCTGGATTGTGCCCATGGGGATGGAAGTATGAAAGCTTAGTTTTCAGGAGAACTGTTCAAAAAAGTTCCCTGGTGGCTCTGGAGGTGTCACTGGCATTTGGAAAATCCTGGGGGGAAAGCCCAGGTTTGAGGCCTCCCCCAGCGGGCGCCAGCGGCAGGTGGGGGAGGGTCTCGTTCCGTTTGCCAGGTCATCTCTCCCTGCTGCCGCCAGAGCCCTAAGCAGCCCCAGGTCAGTTCTCCACCCGCGACCTGAGCACAGGGCACACACGGGTGGTCATCAGGCCCGTCTGTCAGGGTGGGGAATAGCTGCCATTGGAGTAACTGACCTCTGGGCCCTGTGTCCCTTTGTTCTCTACCCCTTCCTGGGAGTTAAGCATTTCCACACGGCCAGGGGATAGTGTGAAGTGTTAATGTGGTAATGCGAGGTAACCTGTGGCTCTGTGAGGTTGGCCCTGTGTTGGCGGTTTTCCTGAAATTATGAATGAGGTGTTCTCTGAGGGAAAAGCTTCCCGGTGCTGGTGTCTCGTGGATACAGTGCTTTATCAGTATGTCAACGGATCGTGTTGAATGAGCAAATGGCTCCTGACATTTCAGTGCATTTCTTATGAGGATTTGTGGGCCGTTTGCACGCGAGGGCAGACGTCATGGGGCTTTGGCCCTCCCTGGCCGCCAGCCTGCAGGGAGGAGCTGATCCCCTCCTCTTCCCACCCTGTCTCTGTGCCTCAACCAGTCTGGCCATCCAAGTGAAATATACCTTGGTACCCAGGCCTCCCGGGAAAGTGAGCTAGGGATTCTGTGCCTGAACCCCCTGCGAGGCCGCACATGTGCTGCTTCATCTCAGGCCTCAGCAAGTTATTTCACGTCTCATGCACCTGTCATCCAGCTTCCTACAACGTCACCTCTCCCACTTGTTGGTGTGTTTGCAGGCTGTTATAGCAAATCCCACGTCTGAATCATACTTCATGGTAGAATGTTAATGTGCATCTGTAAATAAGCAATGATCTTTTAAAAAACAAAACGAAAGTATTGTCACTTCTCCTAACACCATTAATAATTTCTCAGCATCTTCTAATACTCTGTTTGGTCCACTTTTTTCTAACAATCTCAAAAAGGTCTTCATACTTCATGGTTTAAATCAGGACCCAAACAAGGGCCACACATTGTGTCTGATTGATGTGCTTCCTAAATCTCTGAATCTTTTGAGTTTTCGGATCTTTGAATCAGTGGACCTTTCTCTTACGCTAGTTGGTAGATAAGTATTTTTTAATGAGTGTATTGTGACATTTTGGAGGGAATTATTAAAGCTTCATAAAGAGAGAGGATTGTTGACCTATTCAGAAAAAGAAAGTATTTTTAGAATCTTGTTTCAAAGAGGAGTTTTACCAAATATGTGTTAGTCTATTTTAGACAATGTTTTGCAGAACACGCTGTAAAAAGTTTAGGACTCTTTTCCTGGTATAATAACCCTGTGAAGTCACAGGATAGGAATGATGAGTAGGCATGTGGCCCTCTTGCCTTTGATGGGACAGCTGGGGGGCAGAGACCCAGGGGGCAGTGTCGGGGTTGTCTGTGGTCAGGTGGGTGAGCGGGACGCATAGTGGTGGCTGCTGGGCGTGAAGCAGATGCTATGTCTTGCGGGTCTTGTTTCTCCACAATGTTAGGAATCTATAATTTGGGGTCATCTGGGATGTACCATGTAGATATTTAGTGAGAACTAAGTTCTGTGTCAGATTGAAATTCATTGCTAGATGGACTATCCTGAGGATCTAGTCCAAATCTGCTGGATACTAGCAGGATAGAAAGTTCTAGAATGGCAATAACTGTGACCAGCATTCCTCGGCCCTAATTTCTCTAAATTGTTTCTTTGATGGACCAAAAACCCCAAAATTTGTGGAACCTTTCCATCTAACAGAGACAGCATAAAATCTAATATAATTTTACCGGCAAGTTTTATCATTTTACCAGCATTCCTCTGAAACAAAGGGCATATGTAAACACAAATAACAAGTTAACTGCGCTTGAATCAGGTGAGGTGTTTCTTTGAACAATGAGGCATCTGGATAGCTTGGGAGCAGCAGTTACATGAAGCCTCCAGAGGACAGGACAGACTCTTAGTCATCTTTGCATTCTCCTTAGTGCAGGTGATGGCATCTTGAGTATAAATGGTGTTTTAAAGACATTCAATAAGTGAGTGAAGCATTGCCAGATACTCTGAGGAAGTGCAAGTCATTTTCAAGATTTTAATGATTATTCTACCCAAAGGCCATGTTGTGAAGAGGCCCCAGATAAGTCCCCAGAATGGAGAGGTTTGTTTAGAGCTCTGAGTGTATTTGGAATAAACCTGCATTGGTCTTATAAGGCCTTGGTGAAATGCTGTGTGGAGTGTTTGGAGATAGACTCAGTAAATGCCACGAGTGTGCAAGGCTAAGTTAATGTATATGTTAGAGAACATGGGTCACACGGCCTTTCTCTTCTTCAGAAGAAGCATATAACTGATAAAATAAGACGGAATTAGTTGAATACTCACATAGAGGCCTAAATGGTTCAACAAACGGCCCTTACTCCTTGACAAAAAGTGAAATGAAAATGCCATGGGAGCCCTGAGAAGAACAGTCTTCTCCACAGTCAGACATACTGTCAAGCATGAAGCAGTATGTTTGCACCATGATTTCTCATCCCAATTCCAGTACTTACATAGTAGTTATATGACCTTGAGTGAGGTTTTAGGCCTCAGTTCCTCATCTGTGAAATAGTTATGGTGTCATCTCTGTGTCACTTTGTTACATGGAGTAAATGAGGTAACCTCTTGTCTGGCACATAGTAACTGCTCAATAAACGTTATTGAAACCATTAACCTCACCACTACCAATACTACCTCTGTGGCCACTACTAAGTGGAATGGAGCCATCTGGCAGGCATAGACTTGTCAATTTTCTCAGGCAGTCAGGGCCATAATTCTCTGATATTAACTTATTTCTTGGCAGCAAATTAAACTACCTTTAAAATAGCTGTGAGGTAGGGAAAAGTTTCCCATTTAAGTGTACTGCTAATTCTGGTACAGCTGATGCACAAGAGACCTGCGTGACCACATGTTGTGGGTTCCTGGGATGTAAAACAGATGATGAGGTGGGTTTGTCTTAAAGGTACCTGAAGGGAAGCTGATCACATGGCCCTAGTGACTTTCCCCGCAGGTGTCGCCTGCAGGCCATGGCCTCTGCATCCCGTGGAGGATCTCACTGTCTTGGGTAATGGTTGACGCCTGCAGAACAGTGCACGCCGCAGTCCTGGGAAGGCTATGCTGGGTTTGTGATATGACGATGTCTGTGCTTTTGTGTCTGGTGTGAATTTATAAAACCAGACACCACCTCATTGGTGTCCCATCAAGAGCAGCATCAGTCTGCCCATTATTTCTGTATTTTCAAATATATAGGTACATTTATTTTTTCATGGCAAGTGAGAGTAGATGGTACCTAGATGGGTTGAGAATCTTCTCCATACCAAAGTGTCCCATAAGCTAACAAATGTTTATGTATGGGGTAGGGGACTCAACTCTATTTTCCCCCATCCTTTTGTATTGAGAAAGAGAAAGCTGCAATGAGAAGGTGAAGATGAATACAAGATTGAAGGGAAAGCGCAAAGAAAAGCCCTTTGTTTCCATGAGGAGACGCCCATTCGTTTTCCACTTAGCGCCCTCTGGTGGCACAGAGAGGCCACTGTGACATTAGGACGGGAGGGCGTGCCTGCCGCCGTTTTCCTGCTTGGGCGGGTGTGTATTGATGTGCTTGTGACACTCCTTCCTCGCCCAGGGAATGCCTGACGTCCGGCTGGCCTGTGTTCAGTTTGCCATTTCATTTTTGATCACCAGTGAGGACACCATAGTGCAAGTGCTGGAGTTGAAAGGTAGGTGTGCCGACAAAGTCTGTTTGTGGCTATTGTAAATAGTGCTGTGATAAACACAGGGGTGCATATGTCTTTTTTAAAATTTTATTTTGGTATCGTTAATGTACAATTATACGAGCAACATTATGGTTAGTAGACTCCGCCCATTATCAAGTCCCCACCACATACACCATTACAGTCACTGTCCATCAGTGTAGTAAGATGCTGTAGAATCACTACTTGTCTTCTCTGTGTTGTACTGCCTTCCCGAGCCCCCCACCTACATTATGTGTGCTAATCGTATTGCTCCTTTATCCCCAGTATCCCTCCCTTCTGACCCATCCTCCCCAGACCCTTTCCCTTTGGCAACTGTTAGTCCATTCTTGGGTTCTGTAAGTCTGCTCCTGTTTTGTTCCTTCAGTTTTTTCTTTGTTCTTATACTCCACAGATGAGTGAAATCATTTGATGATTGTCTTTCTCTGCTTGGCTTATTTCACTGAGCATAATACCCTCTAGCTCCATCCATGTTGTTGCAAATGGTAGGATTTCTTTTCCTCTTATGGCTGAATAATATTCCATTGTGTATAGGTACCACCTCTTTATCCATTCATCTACTGATGGACACTTAGGTTGCTTCCATTTCTCCGCTATTGTAAATAGTGCTGCGATAAACGTAGGGGTGCATATGTTGTTTTGAATCTGAGAACTTGTATTCTTTGGGTAAATTCCTAGGAGTAGAATTCCCGGGTCAAATGGTATTTCTATTTTGAGCATTTTGAGGAACCTCCATACTGCCTTTCACAATGATTGAACTAATTGACATTCCCACCAGCAGTGTAGGAGGGTTCCCCTTTCTCTGCATCCTTGCCAGCATTTGTTGTTCTTAGCCTTTTTGATGCCGGCCATCCTAACTGGTATGAGGTGATATCCCGTTGTGGTTTTTATTTGCATTTCCCTGATAATTAGCGATGTGGAACATCTTTTCATGTGCCTGTTGGCCATCTGAATTTCTTCTTTGGAGAAGTGTCTGTTCAGGTCCTCTGCTCATTTTTTAATTGGATTATTTGATTTTTGTTTGTTGAGATGCGTGAGCTCTTTATGTATTTTGGATGTCAACCCTTTATCAGATCTGTCATTTATGAATATATTCTTCCATACTGTAGGATGCCTTTTTGTTCTATTGATGGTGTCCTTTGCTGTACAGTAGCTTTTCAGCTTGATATAGTCCCACTTGTTCATTTTTGCTTTTGTTTCCCTTGCCTGGGGAGATATGTTCATGAAGAAGTTCCTCATGTTTATGTTGCAGCACTATTTACAATAGTGGAGAAATGGAAGCAACCTAAGTGTTTGCCTATGTTTTTTCCTAAGAGTTTTATGGTTTCATGACTTACATTCAGGTCTTTGATCCATTTCGAGTTTACTTTTGTGTATGGGGTTAGACAACGATCCAGTTTCATTCTCTTACATGTAGCTGTCCAGTTTTGCCAACACCAGCTATTGAAGAGACTCATTTCTCCATTGTATATACATGGCTCCTTTATTGTATATTAAGTGACCATGTATGTTTGGGTTAATATCTGTAGTCTCTATTCTGTTCCACTGGTCTATGGGTCAGTTTCTGTGCCAGTACCAAATTGTCTTGATTACTGTGGCTTTGTAGTAGAGCTTGAAGTTGGGGAGCGAGATCCCCCCCACTTTATTCTTCCTTCTCAGGATTGCTTTGGCTTTTTGGGGTCTTCTGTGGTTCCATATGAATTTTAGAACTATTTGTTCCACTTCATTGAAGAATGCTGTTGGCATTTTGATAGGAATTGCATTGAATCTGTAGATTGCTTTAGGCAGTATGGCCATTTTGACAATATTAATTCTTCCTACCCAAGAGTATGGGATGAATTTCCATTTGTTCGTGTCCTCTTTAATTTCTCTTAGTTTTCAGAGTATAGGTCTTCCAATTCCTCGGTTAGGTTTATTTCTAGGTTTTTTATTCTTTTTGATGCAATTGTGAATGGAATTGTTTTCCTGATTTCTCTTTCTGCTAGTTCATCGTTCATGTATAGGAATCCAACAGATTTCTATGTATCAATTTTATAACTGCAACTTTGCTGAATTCAGATATTAGTTCTAGTAGTTTTGGAGTGGATTCTTTAGGGTTATTTATGTACAATATCATGTCATCTGCAAACGGTGACACTTTGACTTCTTCCTTACCAATCTGGATGCCTTTTATTCCTTTGTTTTGTCTAATTGCCGTGGCTAGGACCTCTAGTACTATGTTGAATAAAAGTGGTGAGAGTAAGCATCCTTGTCTTGTTCCCAATCTTACGTGAAAAGCTTTCAGCTTCTCGCTGTTAAGTATGATGTTAGCTATGGGTTTGTCATATATGGCCTTTATTATGTTGAGGTACTTGCCCTCTATACCCATTTTGTTGAGAGTTTTTACCATGAATGGAGGTTGAATTTTGTCGAATGCATTTTCAGCATCTATGGAGATGATCACGTGGTGTTTGTCCTTTTTGTTGATGTGGTGGATGATGTTGATGGATTTTCGAATGTTCTACCATCCTTGCATTCCTGAGATGAATCCCACTTGATCATGGTGTATAATCCTCTTGATGTATTTTTGAATTTGGTTTGCTAATATTTTGTTGAGTATTTTTGCATCTACGTTCATCAGGGATATTGGTCTGTAATTTTTTTTGTGTGTAGTATCTTTGCCTGGTTTTGGTATTAGAATTATGCTGGCTTCATAGAATGAGTTTGGGAGTATTCCCTCCTCTTCTATCTTTTGGAAAACATTAAGGAGAATGGATATTATGTCTTCTCTAAATGTCTGATCAAATTCAGCATTGAATCCATCTGGCCTGAGGGTTTTGTTTTTGGGTAGTTTTTTGATTACCGATTCAATTTCGTTGCTGGTAATTGGTCTGTTCAGATTTTCTGTTTCTTTCTGGGTGAGTCTTGGAAGGTTGTATTTTTCTAGAAAGTTGTCCATTTCTTCTCAGTTATCCAGTTTTTCAGCATATAATTTTTCATAGTATTCTCTCACAATTCTTTGTATTTCTGTGGTGTCCGTCATGATTTTTCCTTTCTCATTTCTGATTCTGTTTATGTGTGTAGACTCTTTTTTTCTTGATAAGTCTGGCTAAGGGTTTATCTATTTTGTTTATTTTCTCAAAGAACCAGCTCCTGCTTTCATTGATTCTTTCTATTGTTTTATTCTTGTCGATTTTACTTATTTCTGCTCTTATCTTTATTATGTCCTTCCTTCTACTGACTTTGGGCCTCATTTGTTCTTCTTTTTCTAGTTTAGTTAATTGTGTGAGTTTGAACTGTTCATATGGGATTGTCTTTCTTTCCTGAGGTAGGCCTGTATTGCAATATACCTCCCTCTTAGCATGGCTTTTGCTGCATCCCACAGATTTTGTGGTGTTCAGTTATTGTTGTCATTTGTCTCCATATATTGCTCAATCTCTGTTTTTATTTGGTCATTGATCCATTGGTTTTTTTTTTTATTAAGGTATTATTGATATACACTCTTACAAAAGTTTCACATGAAAAAACAATGTGGTTACTGCATTTACTCATATTATCAAGTCCCCACCCATACCCCAATGCAGTCACTGTCCATCAGTGTAGTAAGATGCTACAGATTCGCTATTTGCCTTCTCTGTGCTACACTGTTTTCCCCATTGATCCATTGGTTATTTAGGAGTATGTTGTGAAGCCTCTATGTGTTGTGGGATTTTCCATCTTTGTTGCATAATTTATTTCTCATTTGATACCTTTGTGGTCTGAGAAGCTGGTTGGTATAATTTCTATCTTTTTTAATTTACTGAGGCTCTTTTTGTGGCCTAGTATATGATCTATGCTTGAAAATGTTCTATGTGCAGTGGAGAAGAATGTGTATTCTGCTGCTTTTGGGTGTAGAGTTCTGTAGACGTCTGTTGGGTCCATCTGTTCTAATGTGTTATCCACTGCCTCTGTCTCCTTACTTATTTTCTGTCTGGTTGATCTGTCCTTTGGAGTGAGTGGAGTGTTGATGTCTCATAAAATGAATGCATTGCATTCTGTTTCCTCTTTTAATTCTGTTAGTAGTTGTTTCTCACATGTAGGTGCTCCTGTGTTGGGTGCATAAATATTTATAATGGTGATCTTCTTGTTGGATTGACCCCTTTATCATTAGGTGATGTCGTTCTTTGTCTCTTGTGACTTTCTTTGTTTTGAAGTCTATTTTGTCTGATACAAGTACTGCAACTCCTGTTTTTTTCTCCCTGTTGTTTGCATAAAATATCTTTTCCCATCCCTTCGCTTTTAGTCTATGTATATTTTGGGGTTTGAAGTGAGTCTCTTGTAGGCAGCATATAGATGGGTCTTGTTTTTTTATCCATTCAGTGACTCTGTGTCTTTTGATTGGTGCATTCAGACCATTTACATTTAGGGTGATTATTGATAGATATGTACTTATTGCCTTTGCAGGCTTTAGATTTGTGGTTACCAAAGGTTCAAGGTTAACTTCCTTATTATATAAGAGTCTAACTTTACTCACTTAGTATGCTATTACAAATACAATCTAAAGGTTTTTTTTTTTTTCTCCTCCTTTTTCTTTCTCCTCCATTCTTTATATTTTAGGTATCATATTCTGTACTCTTTGTCTATCCCTGGAATGACTTTGGGGGTAGTTGATTTAATTTTGCATTTCCCTAGTAATTAATTGTTCTACTTTCTTTACTGTGGTTTTATTACCCCTGGTGACAGCTGTTTAGCCTTAGGAGCACTTCCTTCTGTAGCAGTCTCTCCAAAATACACTATTGAGCCCATTTGTGGGAGGTAAATTCTCTCAGCTTTTGCTTACCTGGAAATTGTTTAATCCCTCCTTCGAATTTAAATGATAATCTTGCCAGATAGAGTATTCTTGGTTTGGGCCCTTCTGCTTCATTGCATTAATAATATCATGCCACTCCCTTCTGGTCTGTAAGGTTTCTGCTGAGAAGTCTGATGTTAGCCTGATGGGCTTTCCTTTGTATGTGATCTTATTTCCCTCTCTGACTGTTTTTAAAGGTCTGTCCTTATCCTTGATCTTTGCCATTTTAATTATTACATGTCTTGGTGTTGTCTTCCTTGTGTGCCTTGTGTTGGGAAATCTGTGCACCTCCATGGCCTGAGAGACTATCTCCTTTTCCAGATTGGGGAAGTTTTCAGCAATTACCTCTTCAAAGACACTTTCTATCCCTTTTTCTCTCTCTTCTTCTTCTGGTACCTCTATAATACAAATATAGTTCCTTGGATTGGTCACATAGTTCTCTAAATATTCTTTCATTCCTAGAGATCCTTTTTTCTCTCTGTGCCTCAGCTTCTTTGTATTCCTCTTCTCTAATTTCTGTTTCAATTTTTGTCTCTTCCACTGTATCTAATCTGCTTTTAAAGCCCTCCATTGTATTCCTTAATGATTGGATCTCTGACTGGAATTCATTCCTGAGTTCTTGAATATTTTTCTGTACCTCCGTCAGCATGTTTATGATTTTTATTTTGTAATCTCTTTCAGGAAGATTGATGAGATGAGTTTCATTTGACTCTTTTTCTGGTGTATGTAGGATTTAGCTTTGAACCAGGTTCCTTTGACATTTCATATTTGTGTGTGGCACCCTCTAGTGTTCAGGAGCTCTACTCTCTGGAGCTACTCAACCCTTGGAGCAATGTCAGGGGTTGCAGGGGAGCAAGCGGTGTTTGTGCCTTTGGGGGAGGAAAGGGCTGTTTCCTACTTTCTGGCTGCTGTACCTTTCTCCACTGCTAGAACCAGTGGGCTGAACACACAGGTGTTAGCCTCTATGCTTTGCGATTGTAGTTGCTGTAGGTGGGGTTTCCCTCTGGCTGGCCTGACACCATGGCAGACGCTGCCAGTTTGTGAGCCAGGGGTGGGCTGGCTGGGAGGAAGGTACAGCAGGCTACGTATCATGTTGGGGGGCCTGTGTATTCAGCCAGGGGGATGGAGTGCCTGAAGCTCCTGAAATTTCCCAACCTGCTGGGCAGAGTGTTCCTGGACAATTTTGTCTACCTGTCCTTTCTCCTGAGCAGTAAGCTCTGTGCAATCCCTGCCCATTTAGCAGCCTTCTTGCTGTTAGGAAGTCTCTCAGACTGCCCGCATTTCTTTTGTCCCAGAGCAGCTGGATGTGGATCCCTGTGTTCCACAAGTGGCTGGAATCTCAGTCTCTCCAGGTATTCTGCCTGTCTTAGCTTTCCAACATCACTAATATCCAGAGCACTGTGAAATGTAGGCTTGTGCTCCCAGAGCAGATCTCCAGGGCTGGGTGTTCAGCAGTCCCAGGCCTCCACTCCCTCTCTGCTCCATTTCTCTTCCTCCTGCCGGTGAGCTGGGGTGGGGGAAGGGCTTGGGTCCCCTTGGATCACGGCTCTGGTATGTTACCCTGTTCTGTGAGGTCTGTTCTTTTCTCCAGGTATATGCAGTCTGGTGCAGCCTTCTTTCCTGTTATTCTTTCAAGATTAGTTGTATTAATTATATTTTTGAATAATATGTGGTTTTAGGAGGAAGCCTCTGCCTCACCTCTCACGCTGCCATCTTTAATCGACCTTTACTGTTCTATTCTTAAATTGTTCCTTTGATCAAGTAAGTTAGGTTTTACAAACTGATGAATAACTTCTTCTTTTGGGTTTTCAGAACTGGATTCTGAAAATCCTACAGAATGTCTCCTGGAATGCCAAATCTGCCTACAAGATACTGCGAGACTATAGCCTTTTAACATGGCTTTTAAGCATCCTTGAGAACAAGTAAGCATCTTGTGCAGTAGAGGCATGTGTCTGGTTGGAATGGGGGATGAGGCAGTGGTGTCTACTGCTGGCTTCAGTGGCCACTGGAAAAGTAGAATCCATGCTGCCCAAAACCGTGCCCTCCTGCTCCACCACATGCCTGGGTACCCACCCACTGGGAAGACTGCAGTGGCATTTCATCACCTTAAATCTTTCTTTGACGTGCCCAAAGCTGTTTGCATTCAGCTGAGGCTTCGCCAGCCAACGTGTCTATGTGTTCTGCACAGTCCAGGCTGTCCCTGGAGTGGGATCAGCCATCTAAGGGTGCATGACTGCAGCCATCCCTGCAGTAGAACAGGAAGCCTCCAGGTTCAGGAGCTCATTTGGCCCTGTGTTGGAGGGTGGGTCCCAGAGCCCCACCACCTGTGCTGGCTCAGGGGCTCCTGAGGAGCTGGTGCTGGAGCAGCACTGAGGGGCTGGAGTGGGTGTGTGTCATAGTTACCTCGGCTGCCGGGTGGGCGGCCCACATACGGGAGGTCCAAACAGGAATTCACTGTCTCTCAGTTCTGGAGGCTGGGGGCTCAAGGTCAGGGGCCAGCACCGGTGGTTCTGGGGTTCTCCTCCTGCCCTTTGCAGCCGCTCTCGCTGTCCTCAGGTGGCAGGGAGGCCAAGAAGCGGGGAGAAGGCTCTGCCCTCTTCCTGTCCTTGTCAGGACACTGATCTCATCACAGGGGCTCCACCCTCCCTCATGGCCATATCTAAACCTAGTTCCCTCCCAAGGCCCCACTTCCAAATGCGGTCACGTGGGGTTGGGCTTCAGTGCATGCATGTGGGTAGGTGGGGAGTTGGCTCAATATAATCCACAGCATAGTCTCTTTTGCTTCCTAATACTTTCCTGAGTTTGAGGCTGTCTGAAAAGATGAAGGCCTTGTCTCAGCAGATAGCACTTATTTCAAAGAATTAACTACTCTGATAAGCCCAGAGATGTCCAAACCCTTCTGTGCATTTTTTTAAAGTATTTTTAAATTTTCTCTAAAAGTAATGTTCTAAGTCTGAAATTGTTGGACATCAGTTCCAAGACTGTTGCAGATTTATTGAAGGCATGCCTGGCTCCTCCTCTGTTCCTGGTGGAAGTGGAGCTGTTCGCATGAGTGGGACAGTGGCTCCAGACTTGCCCTCCAGTGTGGGACGTGGGGTGGTCGTCTGACTGGAAAGGAGAGCTGGGGCCTCATCCTGCACTGCAGCTGCACTTGTGCAGCAGGCACCCCGTTTTTATACTGAGATCCTGGGCTTTTGTGGGGCTGAGCAGGTAGAATTGTTGGTGGGGGAGGCTGCCAGGCCACCCCTTGGTGCTGCCCCCACAGTCACAGTCTTCCATGCTTTCTGCCACCCCTCACCCAGCAGCTGTCAGCAAAGGTGATGGGACAGAGAGTGAGCCTTCCTCTTTGGCTTTAGGTTTCTGGAGACCCCGCTGCTCTGCAGCATAATCTCCTTGCTGCACACTCTGTGGGTGACCAACCTGGGACACAGTGGAGTTGGGGAGCCAGCCCCGCTGCAAGCCTGGGTACCAGGAGCCCCTGAAGCTGCTTGCCTTGCACCTGGTCAATGAGTTCCTTTATGTTCTCATCATGCTCATGAAGCACCTGAGGTGAGCCCCTCGCCTGCCAGGTAAGGCCCCTGGTGTCAGTCACTTGTGGCCGTCACCTCTCAGCCTTCCCCTTGGTCCTGCCTGCACAGGTGGGTGCTGGGCCAGAGGGATGCCGTCAGCTGTGGGGACATCAGGCCAGTATGTTAGTGTTTCCTCATTTCCACCTCAACTTTATGAGGCAGGAAGACACTGAGAACTGAACACGCTTTTAAAAATCGTGTATGGCAACAGGCCATACCTCATCATTGTTAGCAGGCAGACCATCTACCTGGATGGTTCATTTGGGTGCTCAAAGTGGTGTTTTGTAGGAAGAGTGGATTGCCCACAACCTTTGCCCAAAATGGGTGCTCCTAGATGGCCCTGCTTCTTCAGCCTGCATTTGAATTTTCTTGACAATTTCAGTATTTTCATCTGACCCCTTAGAAAAGTGCTCTTGGTTTTCTCAGGAGAGCTAAGTTCTCTCCGACTTGCAGGGAGCACCTGGGGTTCCGATCTGGGCTCAGAGGTATATTGGTAGCCAGTGGAATGACCCTCAGAATGAAGATGGTCCCAGGAAGGAACAGGGCATTTGGTTTTGTGCTGTTCTCGGGTAAACCATTGAGTCAGGATCGAAAAGCCCCCATGTTTCTCATTTGGGGAGAGCTCACAGGTATGTATCTTCCACAGGGCCCATCCTCAGGGCCATGGCTGGGGCTGTCCGGGCTTTCCTGAGCCTTTTCCCGGGAATCTGAACGCACGAGAAGGGGAGGGGCCAGCAGTCCCCGCGTGTCCTGGTAGGTGCTGGTGCTCTGCCCCTCAGGCCCTCTGCCCAGCTCGCACCGTTGGCCATGGTTTCCAAGGAGATTCCTGTGCCTCCAGGATGCAGGTCACACTTTGGTCCCCTTTCTACCTGTCCGGGAGCAGCTCGCTTCCTGGTCTGTGTGCTAGGGGTCCATGTCCCATGTCTGTTGCTAAGGAAACTCCCTGTCATGGGCGGAGCGTTTGTGTCTCTGGGTGGGTGGTGTTCACTGGCCACCCTGGTCCTTGGCTGCAGGACAAGGAAGCATTTTGCTCAGGGTGTGACACTGGCTCCCCACAGGCCTGCCTTGCCCTCTGCCCAGCTGGCCAGCTTCTTCGGGGCGCTCGACTCTGTCCTTAAGTACCGGGCCACCATCACACAGGCCTTCAGAGACATGGACCGCTTCACCGTGAATGAGACAGTGCTGTCCACCAAGGACGTTCTCATCCTCCTGCACAAGTGGAGCCTCATCGGGAGGGACACCGCGCTCCAAGAGGACCTGAGAGCAGCCATTGAGAAATACCAAGTCAAGGAGCTCCTGAGTGAGTGTCGGGACCCGGGGTCTCCTTGTGGGCTCCCCAAACTGTGCTCCTTCCCCTTAGAGCAGGCGCATCATTCCCTCAGCAGCATTTCCAAAGCTGGTGAGGCTTACATACAGTGCATGTCCATCTTCCCAGCCCTGAGGAGGGAGCCGGGACCTGGTGCTGCGTGCTCCAGGTCCGCCTCTGCGAGGGGCAGGCCGGGGAAGGGTGGAGGGTTGTGGCAGGGATTAAATGGCACTGTAGTAACAGTGATGACACTCACAGTCAGATGCTGAGCTCTGCCCGTGCTGCAGGCAGAGTAGCCAGTCCTGCTGGCCAAGCACTCAGTGCCTGTGAGCTGCCTCCCCTGTCCGTGTGGGGGAGGGACACCAGTCTCACTGTCCTTCTCTCTGTGTATAACAGAAATGCTCAAGGATAAGAACAGGCCTGTGGTGGCAGCCCGAACCAGAGGCCCCTGGGGCCGAAGGAGGAGGCCTGGGGAGGCAGAGGAGGCAGCTGACCCTGAGCTGCAGATGTCCAGCTTGGAGACGTGCAAGGGCCTCCTGAGGTCCATATTGACTCACTGGGGGCCAGTGTTCCCCAGCTGTGAGCCTGCTCAGGAGCCCGCAGACAGGGCCACCCCTGAGAGCAGTGCACTGGGCCCTGTGCACGCCGCCGCTTCCCTGGTGGCCACCTGGGTGCTGTGCTCAGCGACCGTTGACCCACTCAGCACTCAGCAGGGCAGATGCTGCCAGACTCCTTGGATGGCTTAAGACCCACATTTTGCCACAGCCGGTCATCGTGGCTGACCTTCTTTGGGACAGTCGTGTGAGGAGTGGCATATTTAAGCTGTACAGCCGGCTCTGCAGTACCGAGGGGCTGCCTGGGCCCGCACAGAGTGTGGCCTGCCTGTTGAAAATGGTCATGCTGCAGCTCATGGCGGCCCGGGGCCCAGCAGGGAGCTCCCTCCAGCCGGCAGTTGAGGCTCTCCACCTGGCTTCTCTGAAGGAGGAGGATGAAGCCACACGAGGTAATGCTGGTTCTTGGATCAGAGGCTACAGAAGTGCAGGAGGGGCTGAGACCTGGGGTGACTCTGTCCCTTAGAGCCCATCAGGTACTTTGGTTAGTGCTCAGGCCCCTACCACAGTGCTGGGGATCGCGGGCACTGAGGGTGAAGACAGAGGAAGTCTTTGCCCTTTGCTCTCAGTGGTCATGTTGATGGGGACAAAGGTGCCCTCTTCCCAACCTTGTGTCCATGGGGGCTCCCACCCTGAAGAACAGTGGCTTTCCTATGTGTCAGCTGTCACCCAGGTGAGGAATAATGTTCATATCGTGGCCAGATGTCTGCGTGTGGACAGAAGCACATGTGTGTTTATGTGCACATGGGTGTGTTCACAAGCCAGAGATGCACAAGCTCACCAATGCAGGTCAGGTGTTTGGCAGGTAGCAGGTGCTTAATAAATGTCTAAACACAGAAATGAATGATCAGCAAAGGCTTGAGGAGGCTGTCACCGTGGTGTGGTTCCTCCTTGGGGGGTTGTCCCTTTCACTGAGGCACAAGGGGGACCAGCCAGCAGCCCAGGAGGTGAACTCCCCTGGTTGCAGGGCCGACCTGTTTCCTCACCTGGCTGCAGTCGGGGACTTGAATCTTTGCTTGTGGGGTGTGGTCTCCTCACCCTGCCACGGAGGAAGTGATGTCAAGTGATTCTGAGACGCTCTTTGCAAATGTCAGTGCCGGGTCTTGCTTGTTGGTCAAACCAAGAGGAGACCTGGCTTGTTGCAACTTCTTTACATTCCAACACATTCATCAAATAAAAAGATCCATCCTAAAAGGAACAGAAAAAGTTAACCCAATCGTTTAGAGAAGACAACATTAGTGTGTTTTATTGCATGCTTATCTCAGGTTGTCCCAAGTATGTGACACAGTTCATTTGGGTGCCTTATCAAAGCCCCAGTGTCCCCATGTGTGTGGGCAGAATGACTTGCTTTCCAGTTGAATAGATCTGCATCCTAATGGCCTTGTCACCTCTTCCTCAGCTGCAGCAGCATTCCTGGTGTCTCTGTACATTAAGGACATCTGGCTGGGGGCCCAGCGGCCAGACACCCTCCTAACGCACGTCCGGATGGTCTGTGACTCTGCAGAAGATGTGCCAAGTGGGAACAAGGAGGCCATCTTCATGCTCTGCAGGGACCTCACCACCTCAGCCCCAGATGCTTGACGCCCTGCCTGCTGTCTGCAGTGCCAGGTTCTAGACGTTTGAGTCAAACGTTTCTGTGGAGGGCATGCAAAAGGATGGGCTCTGGATATTGCTCGTTTCCTGACAAGAAAAGTGGACTATTTAACTGACCGATAAATAATGAACTGAAGGGACTGTTTCCACAGTCCTAGTAGGCATGGGGGTCTTTGGGGCCATGAGCCCATCCAGTGTTTAGTTAGGCAAGACCCTTCCTGTCTGGTTCATTGTTCTCCCAAGGAAATACGTCAAGCTGAGGTAACACTTCTGAGCGTTTAAGGGATTTGTGGGTATTAATTCTAAAGTGTCCAAAAATTATTAGATAAAAGGGCATGAAGAGATGTTTAAAGCTTTCTTATTCTATAAGAAGTCAAAAGAAAGGTTGATATAACTTTTTCACTAAGAAGCTCTTGCCAGTGTTCATTATTTTATTGAAAAGATGTTAACACTAAATCCTTTAAGTATAGATTTATGTGCCCTTTGCTTTGGGAAGTCAGACTGTATTTTTTTAAATTGTATTTCAAAGAGGGGATTTTGAATTTTATAACTTGTTAATAAATGTCCATTTTTGTTAGATTTTTGTGTTTTGCTTACTTGATGTTGGAGGGCTATTTTCATTCCAGAGACCTGCATGTTAGAGGTGAGGATTTGACTCCTAAGGTTCCTGTATTAATTGGTGGTTGTAGCTGACAGACGGCGAATATGATGGTTTCACAGATGAAATTCCAGCCTGTCAGTAAAGCTCTGTTTACAGCCATGTCCCTCCCACACATCCTGGCTTTTGGGGGTCTGCCTGGCCACTGTCATGTGCCAGCACAGCGGCGTTCTCTGTCACCTGGGAGATAAGTGTTTATTTGCTTGAATACCATGGTTAGCACCAAGAATGGCTTGGTTTTGGCTTAAACATTTACACTTTGTATGCCTCCAGTGTTCTTTAGACTCTTTTTAAATGACTTAAGATTCTTAACCAAGATATGGGTGATGCTTACCTGCTGGTCCCCTTACCACAAACCGGGCTCATTATCTAGAAAGCATTTACATTTCCTCTCCCCAGAATACCCGTGTCAGTGTTCTTGGAGAATATTCTGAGGTCAGAATCCTACACTTAGCCTCCAATTGGAGAAGCCACGTGTTCCCTTCTAACCCACTGCCCAAGTGTGGCACGTGATACTTGGGGGATCCTCTCTTGGCCACCTAGGCTGGAGTGGGCTTTAGGGCCTTGTAGTGTGGGACTGGCTCCCTGCCAAGGGCAGGCTTTTGGGCACCAGAGGACCAGATCCATGTGGAGGTAACGGTGTCTCAGATCGGAGGTCACATGGTCTCATCCAGAATGGGACCCTTTGTACCAGCTTAAAAGATGTTCTGTGACAGCATTCGGAGGCATATTTTCTCCCTTTGGGCTTAGGTCCTTCCTGCTGGGCCTGACTGCTCCCTCCAGGGAAGACAACCTCCTTGGGCTCTGTTTTTGAAAGGCTTTGGGCAGGCTGAAGTGTGACTCTGGTGCCTGGCCTGGCAGGGCACACACACTGCCCCCTGTTGGTCATGGTGGGCGGCAGTGGAGGACGGAATTCAGCAGGCACTCTTGGGAGTCCTAGAAAAGGTACAGATGGGCCCAGTGAGGTCAGGGTTGAGGAAATGGGACAGCAATAATAGTTGAAGCTAAGAAGTGGCATAGTAAAGATTAGCGACATTTTTAAGATCTTAATTCATAAAGATTTTATTTTTCTATCCTTCCCAAAGCAAACATAAGCAGTAAGTAAGCAGGTTGGGTGCATTTAATAAAACCAGCAATATTGGCAGCTACTGCCTGCCTATGCTGTGGGCTATTATTACAAGCTCTGGGTAAAATGCTGATCACACGCCACCTGGTGGAGTCCTTGACCTAGCTGCACTTTCTGACGCATGTAAACAGGCTTTCAGAGCACACGCGTGTGTCCAGGTGGGTCCTCGTTCACCCAATGGCCATAGTTTGCTGGTGTTAGTTCTACAATTGAGAGAGGTTCTGTCTCCCGGGGGACGCTCTCTGGGCTTCTTCCTGACGTCAGCTGATGCTCTGGGATCCCCATCCAGGGCCAGTTCCCGAGGAGAGCAGCCTCGGGCTGGGGGCAGTGGCAGGAGAGGCGGAGGGGCTCCTGGCTGCAGCTGCTGCTCAGGGCCAGGTGCTCTGCTGTCTGGTTCCTCCTCCGAGCTCGGGGGAGCCCGCCGGGTCCCCGACGTGCCCTGTGCTTAGCAGGTGCCTCCGGAGGCAGAGGGGACAGTTGAGGCCGGGGCTCCAGCGGCGCGTTCGTTGGTGCTGGACATTGTTCCTGGGGACAGAGCACAGGGGAGGCAGGTGTCAAAGCCGGCGGGAGAGCAGGCCTTCCTGGGGGCTGCCCTGTCCCCCTTCTTAACGCCCATAGCACGTGGGAAGGGCGCCACGGAGGAGACACCTGTCGGGCCAGAGCCAGGGAGCGGCCACCCAGCTCACAGAGGTCCGCTGGGGGAGGAGGCAGGGCGGGCGGGGCCCGCAGCCTGTCCCCAGAGGTGGCGCCTCCCGCGGGTCCGTTCCCGTGGCGCAGGGCGTGTGGGGTGGGGGGTCTCTCCGTGCTCTGCGCGAGGGCGGTCGCGCTGCCATCCGGGCCCAGTTGCCTGGGTGCGGGCTAGAGTCCCCGCTCTCTGAGCGACTCCTGGCCTCGGCGCGGGGGCGGAGGCCCATCCTCCTGGCGGAACCGCCGGTCGGCCGCGCCTTGGGATCCTGGGGTTATGGAGGTGACACCCTTAGAGGTAAAGGCGGGGCGAAGAGGCGCGGTGCCGAGAGCGGTGCACGCAGAGACCCGCGTCCCCAGAGGGCCCGCCCTCCTCCCAGTCATTAGAATGAACACATGTGTCCCGCGCGCGAAGAGAAACTTCTCTGGAAATAGCTCTTTCTGGGTCTTGCTGGGGTTGCGCGTGGCCGCCCTGAGTGGTTGTTGCTGCTGCAAAGCTCAGAGCATTTTCCTTCGTGAGCCACGTGGCCAGTCAGGACCAACAGGGTCGGACGTTTGCCCTGAAGAATTGTGGCCCTGCAGACACAAGATCCCTCAGCCACGGCCACTCGTGGGCACCCCGACCGGGAACTCCACACCAGGCGGACCCCTGGCGATGCCTGCAAACTGTCCCTGGCTGAGGACTCTCCACAAGTCGTCCCAGAAGAGAAGAGAAAGCTGATGTCAGTAGTTTATTCCCCAGGGACCTCCTTGGGGTAAAAATCTGATGAGATTCTATGTGAGTTCTGAAAGAGTGGGTCTCCTCGGTGCTCAAAAGCTGGTCCCTGCCTTCCTCATGTGGAAGGCACTAGAAATGAGCTGGAGGGTGTATCCCTGGGGGGTGAGACCCTGTGGGCAGGGTGGATGGGGGAGGGGTGGAAGAGCAGAGGCCCCTCTGAGGTGGGCCTGTGCGGCAGATCCACAAGCCCTCACCCAGCTGGCAGTGGGACCCCATTGCGTAGACGGGCTGCCCTTCCTGCTGCCTTCTGGGGCATCCAGGCACCTCACCCCTTCCTCTCAGAACGGCTCTGCTCCTCTCTCTGCTACCAGCGTCCATGCTGATCCATGGTTTCCAGTCCCTGAGACTTCTTGGTCCAGCCCCAGGCTTCCTCTTGGACTCCTCAGTGCCACCTGCCCTCAGCTCTCTTGTCAGGCCACACGTTCCAAGGGGCGTTGGCTAGCCAGGAATAGGCCCTCTTTGGGTGAGCTGCCCACCCCTGTCCCATCAGGTAGGGCACAGAGAGAGGTGGTATAGGGCCCCCTGTAAGGACAGCCATAGGGCTGTACCTGGGGGAGCAGGTTAAGCTAGAAGGGAAAACTGGATACGGTGGGCCAATTGTCCAGCACAGAATTGACATGCAGTGAGTTAAGCTGTAATTATGACTTGGAGCTCCTAGATTTTACCTCCTACTTAACCACTAAGGCACATGGTGGGCTTTAATAACAGATAGTGGTCACAGATGCTGAAGTTAAGGTCCCATTTTCCTGGGGAGGCATTTGGTAAGACCTAAAGGGCACATGGGGTCATCTTGTCTTTATTTCCTTTAATAGCTTAATTGAGACATATTTGCATACAATAAAGTTCACCTGTGCAAACTGTACATTTCAGTGATCTCCAGCCTAGTCACAGAGTTGTGCAGGAGTTCTCACAATCAGTTTTAGAATATTTTTGTCATCCCAAAAGAAACCCTGTACCCATTAGCAACCTCCAATCTACTTTCTGTCACTACAGTCATACAATGTGTGGCTTTTGGTATCTGGTTTCTTTCACATAGCACAGTGTTTCTGAGGTTCACCCACGGTGAGGGTGAATCAGTGCTTCATTCCTATTTTATGGCCAAATAATATTCTACCACCTGGACCCAGGGTTATTTCGCCAGGCGAGCTCCATCTACAACCACACACCTACCTCGTCTGTGGGGAGCTTGAGCAGGACATGCAGAGCAGGAAGAGGAAGAGAAGCGCCACGAGGGCAGCCAGGCTCACCCAGAAGGCAATGACAACCGCGTCTGCCGGAGGGGGAGACGCACATCAGTCAGTGAACCGCACATGAGCCAACGGCGATGGGAAGTACGGGCCCCCAAGTACTGTGCAAACAAGGCCCTGAGTAGAGGTGTTCTCGCCCCTCCAGCCCCTCAGCTGTGGCCGTTGGGAAGATTATTCCATTGACATCAACCTGGGGAAGGAACAGGGTGGCAGAAGTGGCTGTTTCCCAGAGCAGGTAGCTGCTGGGCCAGTTTAGGATTATTGTTGAGGGGGAAACAGAGTGAAATTTAGTCAAATGATTTAGTCAGTCATGACTATGCAATGAAGCCCTCACAGAAACCCCTGAGGAGGGCTTATCGCTCTCTGCTCGGTTTGCTCTTGCTTCTCAGTTGGAGGGAGAGTTTCTGAACTTGAGGAACCAGACTGCCTCCACTTGCCGCTGAGCCAGGCCCCAAGCTCCACAAGAATAGCAGCCCCTTTACTTGGGACCTTGCCCTATGTATCTCTTCATCTGGCTGTTAATTTGTATCCTTTACTAGTAAAGGTGTTTCCTTGAGTTCTGTGAGCCCCTCTGGCAAATTAATCAAACCCAAGGGGGAGGTGGCTGGAACCTCTAACCTGTAGCCGGTAGGGCCGAAGCACACGTTAGCTGCCTGGGCTTGCAACCAGCCTCGAGTTAGGGATGGAGGGCAGGCTTGTAGGACAGAGCCCTTAACCTGGGGAATCTGGTGCTGTTTCAGGGCAGATAGCATCAGAATTTAGTTGAGTTCACCCTGCTAGTGTTGAGAATTGCTTGGTGTTATGTGTGCGAAGACCTGCTCCTACATACTTAACACATGCTGGAAACGGATCCGGGAACCTGAATGGAGTAATACCTCTATGACTGCTGTGTATAGTACTGTTATTGTTATATGTGTATGTAACTAAACACACACCTGCAGTGTCAAAGACTCAGCATCTAGGGCTTTGGGTATAAAATCATATTTTACATCCTCTGTAAAAAATTTGGAACTAACTTCCTATGAAACTAAGACTTTGGACACAGAATAGTTTTTGAAGATGAATTTATTGAAAGAGTTAAATTTGTTTGGGGTTTCAATAAGCTAGGTGAGTTGCTTCAAATTGTTGGGGTCATATTTTTCATAGTCTGTATGTAAATTTGGGAGAAAGTCATTTTGTCCATCCCTAAATATGTAACATAAATAATTTCTATTAAAATGCCAATAAATGTTTACTCTTCATACGGGAGGCCCAGCCACTGTCCTGTCTGGCAAGTTTCCTCCCTGAGATGGTCTTTACTGGGTCTGGCAGTTTGGAGAGGAGTTTCTTATTTGACCTCACTTCTCTGCTCACTGGGCTGTAAATGTCCACCCCTAGTTCATGTGAGAAAGACCGTCTTTTCAAACCCACACAGTTTAGAGAAAGATCCACTCCTTCTTCCAGAAATGGAAGTGATTTGCAGGTGGGGAGTGGGGGCTGGGGAAGCTTGAGATGATAGGTTCTCAAGTTCTAAAGCTGCAAACAGTCTCCACACCCAAAGCAGGGGGAGAGTAGGGTGACAGAAGGAGATGTCTGGCTCACCAAAGGGTGTATCTGAGGCTGACTCAGAATTTTATTTAGTTTGTATTAATTTAAAAAAGACTTCTATGAATGCAAGTCTCCATTTTGTCCAGATCAATATGCGTCTGAAGTTATGAACTTTTGACAGTGTATATGAGTGCGCTTTTATTTCAACCCAGCCACTTTCTCCCTGTCACTGTATGTCTTCCTTACTGTGAGCTGTATGGGCAAAAATCTGCATTTTAATTTCATGATATATACCTTGCACCAGAAAACACACCAAACCCGTCATCGTCCCAAAAGCTTTAGTACCATGCTTGGCACACACTAAGTGCTCAGCCAGCACAGATGTGTCCCTGGAGTTCTGGAATTTGTAAATGAAACTGGAGACAGGGGGTCTTCTAACAAGACATCCCAGATGCCTTTCCTCAAGGGCCTTGCCAGGGGTCTGCTCCTTCATTCATCCTAACATGCAAGGGGATGTCAGTTTAGAGTGAGTGTATAAAGATCACCTTTTTTTTCATATGAAAAGCATCCCAGTCCTTCTAGAGACAGACATGTGATGTGAGTGCACAGCATGGAACCCCAAGGGAAGCCAAGACCCAGGATAGACGAGGATGGCTGCTCAGTACTGAGACTTTGTTTTTGGTTTGATTTGCTTTTCATGCTCTTTTCCTCCACTGACTTGTTATCATGGCTGAGTAGATGGAAGAATCAGATCAGGGAAGACTATCCACCAGGTACCAAGTTACCCAAGAAATAAAGAATGGAGGGTAATGAGCAAAAGGTTGTTAGATCAGATTGTCCTCCCTGAGACCAGGAAGACTAAACATCAGTTGGTATTTTAAGTGACATTAGTAAGTCACACATCTTAGGGGTGGACATAGTTACTCCCCCAAATGTACACAGAGACAAGAGAAAACATGAAATCCACAATCTGAAGAAACTCACCTGGCTTATTGGAACCCCACACCAATCAAACTCTATCAAGAGATCTCTCTTAAAAGCATATTCTGCTCCCTAAGTGTCTTAGTTTCTTAGCAGTTTCTTAGAAGATAACAGATACACTTTCCCCATGTCCACATGCACCTATGTGTGCAGGGTTGTGTTCCGGCTCACCCATGGCATCTGTTGGAGCTAATGAGTCATGTGGACCAACCCCGGCTCCCGCCTGGCTGCTGCCCCGGTTCAGGACTCACGTTTGTTGGCTTTCAGCTTCTTCTCATCCACGGGAAGGAGGTCCAAGTAGTCCAGGTAGTACTCGTAGCTGTAGTCCAGGGCAGAAGCATTGGGCCTGTGGGCCATGTCCGCAGTGCCAGGAGGTGGCACATCAGAGCTGCTGGAATCCCTTTGCGGAGATTGCCTAAGTGATTTCTGTAGTCATCGCAGTGTGTCCGTGGGTCTCTAGGTTCAAGGCCTGCCTGCTCCTCCTAGCTGTGTGGCTGAGAGAAAGGTCAGGAGGTTGTGCCTGACATCAGCAGGCGAGGAAAACTTTCCATCCTGTCTTTCCTTGATAAAACTCCAAAACAAACAGAGCTGCAAGGTGGGAGGTCCTGCTCCCAGAGCAGGTCGAGGGTGGCCCCTGCAGAGGACAGGAAAATGGGTACCCGGGCCCCTTGAAAGACAAGATGCTGAATACAGCTAGAAAGGACAATCGCTTTTTGCCTTAAATATTTAAAAGGATAATAAAATCAAAGCGAAAGCCTGGTGGTGCCCTTGACTTACATTAAGGCAGTTCTTGGTGCTGTTAAGCAACCAGCAAATCACTGGCTTAGATTCAACATCCGAGGGCAGAAATTGAGTGCTGTCAGCCCTGAGCTGGAGGCTCTCTCATGTACACAGAGCCAATTATGAGAACCCATCCCCACCCCCTCCTCAGTTGAGCACCCCCCCAGCTTTTAACTAAGCCCCAGAACCAGCCACTCAGCTGCACTCGCCCAGGCTGGAGAGGCTGTTTGCCTGGGCCTGGATCCCACCTGGACTGAGCTCCTGGGAAACAGAGCCCGAGGGTCACCCCAGCCCTTGGCTGACAAGTATGAGAAGGATTCCTCTGGGTTTCTGTAGGGCCTGACTCCAACTTCTGCACTTATCTTTCTAAGAGCTGCAGATGTAATCAAAAGGAACATTCCAAATATTTGAAATGAGCAAGACTAACTATGAGCAGAGCCCTGGGATTTAACCTTTGAGAATCAGTCAGGAAGTCAAAATACACAGAATTATGGCGCCTCTCCATCCAATATGCCAGCTTTCTAGTATTCTTGATTCAGGCCTCCAATGCCACAGTAAAGTGGGGCACTGATAGCGTAGACAGCCACGCCAGGTAAGCTAAAGCCCTCTGCTGGCTTCGATCCTGTACCCCTTGGCCTGCTTGCTGAGGCATTCCCTGGGGGCCGCTGCCCCTGAACTGAACTGCGGCATCTGGTCCTGGGTTTTCAAAGTGAGGGGTGAGAGGTCTCCCAGGTGTGCTTGGTCAAGAGGCAGTCGAGTGTAGGGGACAGGAGCACGGATTCTGGGCCCAACCGCAGACTTGGAAGCCTGGCTGTACCGCTTACCAGCAGGTGGCCCTGGGCAGGGGGCTCTGCTCCTCTGCAGCTGCCTCCCCATCTGTGAATTGGGGCCTCATCTCTTTGCTGTGGCCCACGGCCAGGACATGGGATTGCCATTGCTCAGGGGCAGGGTTTCAGGAGTGTATGGACTGTGCTCATCAGATTTGTGTAAGTAAATCTATGGATTGAAATTTTGAGGTTGGTGTGGGTTTAGAGGAGGATTTTTACATCTTTATGTAAACTTTCCAAAACTGAGGGATTATAGAGCAATGTACGTTTTTCTTTTTCTTTCTTTCCTTTTGTATTAGTCAGGATTCTTCAGAGAAATGGAGCCAACAGAAGGATATGTATGTATGCATCTGGAATTCTCAGCCTCCATAATTGTGAGCTAGTTCTTATAACAAATCTCATTGGAATTATGTATATGTATATATATCTCAATGTGTCAAGCTGGAGACGTGGAAAAGCCAGTGGTGCAGTTCACAGGCCTGAGAGCAGCAAACAGATGGCAGAGATGCCAGTCCCAGTCTGAAGGCCTGAGAACCAGGTGGGAGAAGACCGATGTGCCACTTTATGCAACCCAGGCAGAGATGGATTCAACCCTTTTACTCTAGTCGGGCCCTTAGTGGGACGGACCGTGCCCATCCACACTGGGGAGGGTCCTCTGCTTTGCTCAGTCCACTGACACAGATGCAAATCTCTTCGGGAAATACCCACACAGACACACCCAGAAACAGTGTTTCCCGCTATCTGGGCATCCCTGATCGAGTCAAGTTGACACATAAAAGTAATAATCACACCTCCCTCCCTTCCTTGATACATTTTCCTATGTAACGTAATTCCATTCCATTGGTTTGGAATTCTTCCCTCTACCTGAGAAAATACTGGTTGTTAAAATGAATTAATCAGTCTGGTAATAATCTTGGCTTTAAAATACCCATGGAAGTGCCCTGATAAAAAAACAAATTGTAAAAATATTTTCCCCTTTCACATTGGTAAGACCTAAAACTCCCATCAGGGTCAACTCTCCGAGATAATAATGACATATGTATATTAACAAATACCTCAAACACCTTGACTCTTGGCATTGTTTGTCCTCCCACTTTAATTTATAACCTAAGCTTGAAGGCGACGTTGTTTTTCCTGGGGTGTTATCTTTTCCAGGAAATGTGTACTCCTGTCAGCTGTCGTTGTGGCAGCACATCAAGAGGGGGGAGAAGGGGAAGGGAGAGGCCTGGCGGGGCTGGGGGCCCTGGGCTGGCCCCGTGGGAGTGCTGCACGGGGCCCTCTCAGTACTCCAGCCCACTGGTTGGGAGACTCATTTTCCAGGCAGAAAGTGGGGATCCAGCCGGTGGGGCGGCCTCCCTGCTCTGCCCAGCATGCTGGGATTTGCAGACAGGGGTGTATTAGTGCCCTGGTGGTGCCATGACAAATCACCACAGACTTGGTGGCTTAAAACAACACAGATTTATTATCTTACATTCCTGGAAGTCAGGTGTTCAAAATGAGTCTCATGGGGCTGCAATCGAGGTGTTCCCAGAGCTTGTCCTCTGGGCCCTGGAGGAGAACCCCTTCCTTCCTTTTCCAGTGTCTGGAGGCTGTTATCATTCCTTGGCTTGTGGCCCCCCATCACGGCCTTCCCCCAACCCTTGGTTCTGTTGTCACATCACCTTCTGTGGCCAAATCTCTCTCCTCCTCCTTCTATAAAGGTGCTTATGATGATACTGTGCTCACCCAGAAGATCCAGGATAATCTCTCCATCTCGGAATCTTTAGTTTAGTCACACTTGCAAAGTCCCTTTTGCCATATAAAGTACCATTCACAGGTTCTGGGGATTAGGATGTGGATATTTTGGGGGGCTACCCATATAGGGCAAACAAGGTCATGTTGTGGACATACAGATCCTTAAAATAAACAGCACTTTTCTCTGAAGTGTCCATTCTTGTCAAAGATTTTTGATAATAGTTGTGTTTTAATTTTGAAATAAGCATAGGGATATAACAGAATAAATGGAAAACTTGCATGACTTTTAAAAAAATAATTTTTCTCATAGACAATTTCAAACACTGGCAAATGTATTAAGAGTCGCGCAGTAACAGTCCCAGTAACCATCAGTCAACTGCAAAGATGATGAAGTTATGGCTAATTTAGTGCCATCTGTACCCATCCAGCACCCCCTCCATTCTGTGACACAAATCCTAAATCTATTGTTTCATCTATAAGTATTGTAATATGTATCTCTGAAGGAAGATTTTTAAAAAAATTAAACAATGATAGAATTATTCCCCTTAAAAAGTAATAATAATTTTTCAATTGCATAAAATACCTAGTCAATGTTCACATTTTCCTAGTGTGTATCACAATTATTTTTATTATTAATTTGCTCTAATCAGGAGAAAACAAGGTACACATGTTGTAACTGGTTGATATGACTCTGAAATCTTGTTAAATCCTACTCTCTCTCTCTCTCTCTTTTTTTTAAACTTGCGATTTATTTGTTTTGGAAACAGGTTATTCCCCCATGAAGGGTTTGCCCACTGATCCCATGGCACTGTCAGTCATGTTCCCCATTTCCCGTATTCCCTGGGAAGTGAAGTTACACCTAGAGATTAGTGTAGACTTAGTTCAGTTTTGGGGAAAGAATACCTCAAACATGGGGGGGGTGTCCTCCCCTCAAGGACACATAATGTTTGGTGTCCCTTTTTTGTGTGATATTACCAGACAGTGACGATCACTGCTGAGATCCTCTGATGCGTTAAGCCTGTGAAAATGGTGATCCTGGTCTCCATATTCCTTCCTCATCTATTAATTTCATCCTTCTAAACACACACCACACACCCTTGAGAAAAGGAAGGAAGGAAGGAAGGAAGGAAGGAAGGAAGGAAGGAAGGGAGGAAGGGAGGAAGGAAGGGAGGGAGGGAGGGAGGGAGGAGGGAAGGAAGGAAGGAAGGAAGGAAGGAAGGAAGGAAGGAAGGAAGGAAGGTCTTTCTCCATAAACTGCTCGGTTACCTGAGGTATATGTAGTTCACATTGATGCAGGAGTTACTGGGACGCAGGCAGGTAGAACTCACGGCCCTGGTAAGACATAACCAGAGGCAACTACGACCAGGGCTTCTCAGTAAACAAGACACCACCTCCTGGAAAACCGGGCCTGGAAGATGGGAAGGTCTTCCGATCCCCATCTCGGCGCTGGCAGCGACTCCCAGCCAGCCGTGGCGGCTTCTTCCTCCAAAAATCTCCAACCCTCTCGGCCATTTGAGAGTCCGCTTAGGCAGCTAAACCTCAGCGCTGATCGATTACTCACTATGGAAACGGAGCACGGTACTTTCAGCCCACCAGGAATGAGTCGCCCCATACAAATGGAGCACTGTACTTCGGTCAGTCAGGATGAGTTGTGATGTCGTCAGTTCAGTTGTCTATTAGGTGCACGGGGCATGGACTTCCTCCTTTGAAGAAGCTCTATAAACCCTACACACTGCAGGCCTGGCAGCATCCTCTCTTGGAGCCCCTCCTGGCCAGCAGGAGTTATTCTCTTCTTGTTCCTCATTAGCTTTGCTGGTTGCTCTGTGCTCTTGTCTGCTGGCTTCATTCTACGTGGCCTCCAAGACACAACCCTGGGAAGTGCCGCATCTTAGCCGGTAACAATAGCAAGGTGGGAAAAATGTTTGATCTACTTGTTTGTTTCTTTTTCTTTCTTTCTTTGCTAGTTTTCAAAATAATGATTGGGTTTTCTAGTACCACCCAACAGTGAACTGTGAGAGCTTTGTTTTTTAGAAACCATCATGAACTTCTGGAAGTAATCCTATTTTGTGTATTCCATTCCATTCCAGCTATGATCTCTGATGATGCACAAATTTAACTCATATGTGGACAGGGAGAGCCTCTTCATGCTGGTTATAGTAGTAGTTGGCTTTGTTTTGGTTTTTACACCTTCCTTGCTTTCTAGAATTACAAGATGTTTCAGGCTCATTTTATCCATTTCTTACCCCAGACCTTGGATTCCACCATTTCTCCAATGACTCCTGGTTTCTTTTAGTAGGAAATGGTGTTTAGTTACTATAATCTGGGCGCTAAAGGTGATTACTGGTCCTGTGTTGGTTGCAATGTTCAGGCTTATTTAATGTAGAGAGCTAGAAAATATTTATTTATGTTTAAATAAAAAGCATCCTGGGTTCATACTAATACTTCCAATTCAAAACCGCAAACATGCAGTTTTTACTTAACATTATTCTAGCTGTATCTCTTTTCTCCA